CTTTAGGAATGGTTTAAACCACGACCATTTAGACCACGTTTCGTCCGAGTTTTAACAGATTTTTTGTAATAAGACCGTTATAGTATATTATTGATACTTGTATTTAATTAATTATTTGAACTTTTACAGTTAATATAATAAACGATCTTTCAATATTTAAAATCTGATTTACTATATCAACTGTGAAAGTTTATATAAATTGTTGCGTAGAAAATACTATCTATAATTAGTTACATCAACTTGTTTACCTATTTCGTCCATTTCAGTTCACTGTGCCAATTTATAGGATTGTAACACAATGCTGAAGTATTACAAGATCTCATCTTAGATATTTGTTTTCGCGTTTGAAAAATATATAAATTATTTGATATAGTTTAACAACTATCAAAATTATAACAGTTTAATAAAACGCACGGCTGTGTATATATACTATTTGCAGTATAAAAATTAAGCTTACACTACTAACAAAGAAAACTGTTTGAAAAATTAATAATACTATTTTTTACAACATTAAATAGTGTAGTTTGTAACTGATCCTTCGAGCCGGATATCATTCGTCTAGTTTTAGTTACCTATAAAATGTTAACGAAGATATACTGTAAATACTTCATCTCTTACGGCACGGTAGTTTAAACAATAATAAAAAATATATATTCACACTTCCCTGAAGTTAGGAACGAGTTACTCTTCTTTGGCAAATAATTTAGGCACGATTGAAGTCTCAATTTCTATTGAGAATATGAGAATTACAGCTTTGCACGGTAGCTGTAGTATAAACTTCATAATCTCACCAACATTTGTTTTGTAGTCTTGCTTAAGTATAATGTCCACTACCTCTGTATTGAAATAGTTATGGCTGTAACAGAAATAAGTAGCAATTATAAATTTGTTGATTTAATTATCTGAGGTGACAATAAAATAGTTATTGGTGCTATTTGTTACGTGTACAATCAGTGCCATTCGCCAATAACCATTTTGGTGCATAACTTTATATAGTACCTATAGCATGCTGTTTCCATATAATATACATATAATTAAAGCAAAGTCAAATACTTCTACATATAGATTTCCTTGTTTGAATTATTAGGGCTTGTGCATACGAGGGACATTATTGGACAAAATGTACGTTTTATATTACATTGCATAAAGTAGACAAAACTACAAAACATATCGTAATGAATATAAAGTTCTTGGATTGCGCAAGCCCTTATAACTGTTATAAAACATTTGATACATTCAGTAAATGAGAGAGCATGAGAGAGCGAGAGAGATAACGAGAGGGAGAAAGAGAGAGAGAGAGAGAGAGAGAGAGAGAGAGAGAGAGAGAGAGAGAGAGAGAGAGAAAACAAGAAAGAGTGATATTAATATTTTATAACATAAAAATGACACTAATAGTAAAACTGTAAAATGTTTTACAATCAACTACCACGATGTTTGTAACATGTCAAAATATAGAGATTATAAATATATGTATTACGGTAAATATTCCGTTTTAGAATGTACCTATACTGATACTAATATTAGTTGAAAATGTATCAAATGTTTAGTAAATATAAGCTACGTAGGTATATAATTTATAAATAAATATATATACTGCAATCACCCAAGAATATACAACCTAAATTTAGAGTTAGTATTTCCCCCTGAGAGTAATTGTTACAGTACACAGAGATTAGTATGTTGTTAGTTCGTAACATGTACTGACATTGTATTACATTTGCGGCGGGTCAATCCGTCACGAAATCCACCTTCTCCGGCAGGTCTTTATGTAGATGTCGCTCGTGTAGCAACAGATTGTGTTTCTGGTAGGCACGGTACACGCAGTAGGGACATTTAAAGCTGGGCTGTTTCCTGCACTCGTACTTTATGTGTCTTTGGAGGGATCCTTTGTGCTTGTATTTATTCCCACAATCGACACATTCGTACAGCGTCCACTCGGCCTTAACGCTGCTCAAACCCGGAGTACCATAACCCAATATATAAGGAGTGTAAAATTGTGCAACTGAAATTAAAACGCAAATAAAAATAAATACGTGCAAAACACTAAGCTATCACCATATTGTGTAAAGCCAAGCCACCTTAGAAAAATAAATGTGCTACCATGTAAGCGGAGGATAATGCACCATGTCTCCCATTAAATTGCTTCGAACATTCTACTTGTATTAATCTAGGGTCTATTTTATGTCTAATGTCCAGGTAACATGCAACCATGTGATGCAGAACCATCCAGATGTATGTTAAACATTGATGTACAATATAATCATATATAAATTCACAGTGAAAGGTCCACCTTGTAAATACATATAATTTCAGTTAGTTGTTTAGCATGCACATATTATAAGGCACATCTGACGAAATAGAGCGTCAATTTTTAACACATCCGCGGTGTCCGTTCTGACCTCTACTTCATCTAGTATGTCCCATCCGTAAACTAAATATTGTATATTAATAGTCATTTACATTTTATTACAGGTAGAAAGAAAATATTGAAACTATTACATATCAAGAATAGCAACTTTATTTAAAATACAAAAAGGTTATAAAAATACAATCAAATGCATTTAATCACTGTAACTTGTTATTGGCAGATTACAAAGTATCTACAATATCTACTACAATAATTCTAGGTAGTAATTCCTAATATAAAAATAACTAGGTTTGTTCGTAACATCACTTGGGTCATTATAAATTGCTCTAAGGGATATACTGTTGCGGTCACAGAAATAACTGACTTTCGACACCCATACATTTCTACAATTTGAAATTGAGTATCATATTTCATTTTTATAATGGCAATATCACAGCTAACAAGTAGTATTCAACATAGATTGTCTGTGTACATATATACACACACAAACAACGTGGCTTGGTCCTCCAAACTGTTGCTAATTTGCAACAATTCATTCAGAAAAATAGTCTGTCATAATCACAACCTAGAAATTTTGCAATAACAATGTGTGATGTAACCAAACATTTAATTAACGGAAACATTTTAAACCCTAATGACTAACTTTTCGAAGGCACTTAGTTTTATATTGACAAGACTTGTTATGATTGTACTTTGTGAACTTTACATATTGATTGTATGATGGTAACTCGAGCGGATCATAAATCTAATGTGGTACAATGCGAACGACGTGGCGCCACTGTCGCCCGGCGCGCTGCCACGAACACAATGGTCAGAATAGCAGCAGAGTCGTGCCAGCGTGTAGAGCCACAGCGGTACCACCTCACAATACAATACCAGACCTAATCGTATGATACTTTCTAAATGGTAATGTGTATAACATACTTAAATACTATTTGGAAGATTTTAACATTTCAAAATTATAAAATTGTGCAATGTTCGTTTCACAATTCAGTGGCAGTGTCGTGATTTTCATTCAATATACGACTGTAATCACGTAAGGCACTATATATAATTTATTTGAGTCTTAACTAATCACTACTTGGATGAACCCAATAATTAGAAACAATGTATTCATAGACATCTTCGCGAGGAACTAGCGAGCAGATTACTTCTACTTAATCACGGATCAAATTGTAAGCTTAAAGTATTGATAAAATAAATGCATAAGACGTAAAGAGATCTAAAAATAATTGAAATAAAAAATTAACTTAAATGAGTATTACATTTATATAATGGAACATGCATTATGGCAAAGAAGAGCTTGCTACCTAAGCGAAAATAGCTTCGTTTTCATTAAAACTACAACATATATCATTAGTTATATGTCCACTAGACATAACCCAAAGAGTATAAGTTAAAATTATAAACATAATGTGCCAAAACATTTTGATGATTTCGCATCTGTGGACACTGAACTAACCTATGCTATATATAAAAGATTTTCACTGACGTGTGAATACACTTCAGTTGTCATTCGAAACAACTGCAAAATTTAGGAAACAGTAACTGCAATTGGTAACAACATTAACCAAACAACTTGTACTTCAAAATTCTATCAAGTCACACCTAAGTCTTCTATTAAACCAGGAATGATAGTTTACACAATAAATGCTGTACATAAAAATATATAAAAATGAGTAAAGCGTAACTATACAAATCACTTTCGACTTAACATAGTGGATAAATGCAACAGTTGCGCACACTGTTACAACATCAACTGTAACCAGTGTCAATACTACGAGTAATTCGTCAATATTAAATTCATGATAAATAATTCTATATCCTGTCTTCTCGGTGCAATAAAAAATATTAAGAGGGAACACCGTGTATATATAATAGTGACGCCATTGTTCTATAAATGTGTGAGAAAGAAGCAAAATATCAGGTCACAACATCTTCTTAATATCTATCAAGCAACACTGAATATTTAAAAATTATTTCATTAATATAGGAGTTCCTAATAATGAATAAAATTTAATTCAATTATTTTAATCAATTTTCAATTATTCTTGCATTCAAATGTCTTTTGAATTTACATATGTTGACAAAGTCACTTGTCAAAATTAAGGTTCATTCTTCAGAGCAAATATATTGGTGAGAATAAATGGTTTTGAGCAATATTTTTAAGTTTTTATTTCGTTCTAGCCGGAGTTCCCTCTGTACTTTTTTGCTGCAGAGCATCTATCATGATCTGTCATCACTTTTGGATGTCAACTAACAATACAGTCGAGTAGGTAACATATGAAGGCACTACTTGTGACCTCTAGTAGGCGATTACATCTAACGTGACAGTCTGGTGCCACTATCACAAAAGAGATTTCATCACAATTATCACAATCGGATATAAATTGGGGATCGTCATTAATTTTGTTGATTTTCAAAAACTGATTATATTTTCTCCACGATTCTAAAATACTCAAACGTGTATATAAAAACTTACTATATAATGTATATATCAGTGTCCTAATAAAATTTGCCAATAAAAACTTCAAAAACGTATTGATATGTAGGATCTAACGCGTAGGGATACACATCCTAACAATATGGAGTATTCGATAGCGACTAATTCGGAGTGCGGGCACTACGCGCGCTATGTGCAGGCGTCGACATTGTCCTGCTTGAGATAGTGCTCGGGCTTCATCTGCACCTCGCGGTGCATGCGCTCCATGTGGCGCGCGATGTGCATCTTCTGCTTGGCGCGGTACACGCAGTACGGGCACTGGAACTGCGGCTCCTTGCCGCACTCCCACTTCTGGTGGTTGCGCAGCGAGGACTTGAGCTTGTAGAGGCGGCCGCAGTCGGGGCAGTTGAAGGAGGGCTCCCCGGGCGCGGGCGGGGCGGGGGCTGCGAGCGCGGCCGGGGGGCGCAGCCCGGCCACCAGCGGCAGCGCCAGGCGCGCCGACCACTGCTCCCACGACAGCCCCCCGATTCTAGTGAAAGACACGTCTTCCGGCGCGCAGCCTCCCCCTGAAATTCCGAGACGGGTCATCAAGTGGCCTCACTGGCGCGGGCACGCACACAAACGACATTCAACATTCCCGTGTGGTTAACGACAGTACAAGCGATACATTATACATGTTATATACATAATAATGATACATACTATATATGAATAGATACATCGTACATAATACTATAGTCTACTGTGAATTTCCACCGAGTGCTGTGATGAAAGCTTTGCAAAAGGAAAGTAAAAAAAAAAAGAACAAAAAAGAAATCATAACGTTTATTGTGTAACGAGTAAATCCGGAGCACTGAGGATTAATGTGCTTCCAGAATTTCAAACAATAGCAGCAATTTAACAATAGTCGCACGCATAGACTTATAGGTTCGAAATATTAGCTTGTGTGCCAATAAATGTCCTCATGATCTGGACCGTTATTTTTTTTATTTAGTCACGGTTTTGGTAATCAAACATTTTGTTAATAAAATGTAGTGTCTCCCGACCCATGGGTTTTCTGGTCTACCTGAAATTATTAATTATATTAGTATGAACGGAAAAAAGAAAAGAAAGACCAATCGGGTCATGCAACGTAGGTATTAAAGCCGGGCTGTAAAACAGTCTGACATGCACGCATGCTTTGTTAAACGTGAGATAGGAGACAAAATAATTTTACACTTACCAAATCTCTACAAGAAATTTACCATCGAGTGAGGTGGGTGGGTGGGATTATAGAAAGTAAAAGAACATGTGTATATTATACTATACAATATATTTGATTAAAATTTTCTACCAAGTGAACCCCAATATATTCATATAAAAATCACACTAATCGTAACTAATTTTCCAATAACATTAACAAACAATGTAAACGTCGTAACATCAAAAATTGTATCCTAAATCATACATCAGTACCTTAAACCGTAAACATGATATGATGGGAATATTGCATATCAAAACAATTTCTTAATGCTTAGCAATGACTCGAATGCTTCAACAACATTAACATTCTATTACATATCATCACGTTAATAAACTAATACTGACTTTGGTCAAATAGCTTTGTTATCCTAGTTTAACAAAAATATCAACAGTCAATATGCTAAAAGATTATTGGAATATTGCATTTAAATATCATATAATATCAATACAATAAATTTAGAATTTATTTTGAACACATTCTCTCTAGACTTTATATAAACCAAACAACATGTAATATCGCATATATATTACATATACATCTACAGGTAACATCGTAGGCACATTGTGGATGAGCTTCCATTATCTAATTAATAATGCCTCACGCCTCAATTTGTTGCAGTACACATATATACATATATACATATGACAGTCTACAGTACTGCGACAGCGTGTAAAGTTGTATGTGTGCACACTGTTTTTTTTTTTGAGGCATTGCGAGCTTACGGCGGACTCCAAAAGTCCTCTAACTTACACTAATAAACAACTTTTTAAATTAATAAACTTTGGGTTTGCACAAAGAACGTTAGGAAGACAAGGAAAAGTGGTCCCTCGAACTAGAAATAAACTAGATAAAAAAACAAATAAAATATTTAATAAATTATGAACAATAACTTAATAGATATTCTACTAACGATACAATCAGAATGAAAATAAATTCTCTACCCGTGACAGATGACAATATCAGTAATGATACATTAATAACAACACTCCCGTACGGGGAGGCGCCTCTATCCGTTATTGCGTTAGTTATAAAGATTATAATAACATTACCTACCTACAGGTTTCTTAATATCATTGCACTAAATTATAAATTTGGAATTACCTAGTTCCCTATTAGGAATGACAGGCCGTAACACTAGACAAATTCGAGTTATTTGGATGGATACTTTAATCGACCGCACCGTTCACGAACTGCGATCGGCAATACAAGTGAAGTCTTTACACCGCAACGGTTTGCAATCGTAAATATATCATATATCATAAATTATAAATAGTCGACCTTGGGCCATATTCTTTTGAATACTTAGGGGGTCAGTCTTAACTACGTCAATAAACTATAAAACAAAAACAACAAAATTATATCTAATGCCGTTAGGGAATGTGCAAATTACATCTACATTTTAGTGTATAATAAAACGTTCTCAACAAAATAATAATAGTGTAAATATAAATAATTATTGCAGTACCGATTTGGTTGGGTATCTACTTTGGTCTAATTCATTTCCGTATAAATAAATATATTTAGATGGATGTCTTTTTGTTGCGCCTCACCTTGTTGGTGGCGTACGCGTACCACTCCTGGTTGTGGTGCTTGCGTATGTGGACGCCGAGGTTGCCGCGCTGCTTGGCCTTGTACGAGCAGTACGGACATTGGTGCGAGGGTGCCTTCCCGCCACACTCCACGTTTTCGTGGCGACGCAGCGTCGACTTCCAGCGGTATTTCTTCCCGCAGTGCCTGCACTCGAACTGCCTGCTCGCGTCGTCCGAGCTGTTCCCGTCCCGCTTGCCGTACGCCTTGCTGTCTTGCTTGTCGAACACGTCGCCCGTATTCACTATCCCCGAGTTGGGGAACATCGAGTTGGAGTCGTAGAACGCGTCCGTCTCCTCGGGCAGTACGATGTCGTCCGTGTCGTCGTACTCGGCGTCGGAGTCCTCGTCCTGCTTCGTCTGCGGCTTGTAGTCTACGGCCTGGCCGACGCTGTTGTTGTTCTGCATGAAAGCTTGCTGCAGTATATGCGCTTTAATATTGTCGGGCATGGCGTTCAACGTGTCTATGGGCAGTTTGGGGAGGTGCAACTGTGAGGGGAAGGGCGCGATGTCTTTGGTAACGCTAGGTTTGATCACGTTAGTGAGCTGGATGCAGGGCGGCACGAGGGCGGCCAGCGCCGGCGACTGCGCGTGCTGTACCGACAGCAGCGACAGCAGTGCCGGTAGGTGGGTATCCTTGTGTAATTCTGAAATACAATACATTAAAGGTATTGCAAATAATAAGTTAAGCGGAACTACATACGGAGTCTTGTTAATACTACCAAAGGCTAAAATAAAATTAAGGAACCAAAGAAATGCGTTATAATAATAATTAAAATAAAAAAAAAAAATAATAATATATAATTTCTGTTAGAAATTATAAGGCGAAGCTTCTAAATTCATGCAAACATGCACAATCCAAATAACTGAATTCCCTCAAACGTTTATCTTCCCATAAATGTTTGGAATCGGTCTGGGCTCGTGAGATGGGAAGAATATAAAAATCAAAAACTAATAAAAAAAATTATTCGTTTAATTGTTCAAAATATTGAATATCATTTATATTCCATACATAATTAAAACAAGATTCATATAAAATTTATGAAATTTCAATACCATTGTAAAGGGAAGATCATCGAAGTGTTTGTATAAAGGTAAGGCACTATAATAAAGCACTGTAAACTGTAGGACGGCATACGATTATGCGGGCTTGTCGTCGCGGCGCGCCTCCGGACTCTGATGGTCGGGGTGTTTCTTGTCGATGTGCTTCTTGAGCTCGTTGCGGCGATGCTTGCTGTAGGCGCAGTAGGGGCACTTGTACTGCGGCTCGCGTCCGCACTCGAGCGTCACGTGGCGCACGAGGTTCTTGCGCGCGTTGTAGCAGCGCTGGCAGTTCGGGCACTTGTATCCCTTCTCAGTCTTGTATTGCGCGCACGGCAGCTGGCTGTTGCGGTCGTGTCGAGGGAACACGTTGAGCCGGCACTCCGAGCTGGGCTCCACACCGGGCGAACTCGCCGTCTTGGCGGGCGACTGCTTTTTATTCTCCTTCGCGTCCTCGGGAGTACTGTTGCTGGTCCTCACATTTTTCAATATGGCTAATGTGGTCGCGCTCGCCTCCTCGGTGACTTTTTTACTACGCGTCATGATACTATGACGAGGCGTCGTTTTCCGCCCTGAAATAGAAAATTAAATACAGTCTGTTTTCAGTCATACGTTTCATGTGATACGACTTATGTTATGATAACTTGAGCGAAAATAAAAACGAAATAAGTAACCAAATTAATATATTGAGAAAAAAATAAAACAAAAAACTTGAACTTCTGTAAATACAATAAAAAAAAAACAAAAAAATATAAAAAATAAAAAGGAAGTGTAACAAAATTACTTTTACTCAGTAACATTAGAGTATTATTTGAATTTCGTCAACAACTCAGTTACTTTCTAGGTAAACGAACCAAAGAAATATCTTTGAGATTTATTTAATAAAATCTTAATAAAAGAAAACATACATAATTCTAAAGAGATCAAAAATCAACTACGATACAACTAATTTGTGTAAGAAAAATCACTTGGTTTGATCTATACTTAAAAATAATCAACAACATTTTAGTATCAATGAGACTAGTTCAAGATTTTCTTTAAGTTGACATTAATACTGGGGACTGCGTATAACTTAATGCTGTAGTCTCGATTTCTAGCAATTCATGTTATAAAACTTATTAAAAAAAAAATAAACACTATAGTTTATATAAATCAACAAAAAGTAAAAAGCAATATTTGTAATAACAAGAGACAAAAAAAGGGTTATTTTTTTTTCTGACTAGCTTCATACTGCTTCTTCCAATTAGGGTGTTTCTGATCAATGTGTGTGATTAATGTTTTTTTCTGTGAATATTTTTTTCCACATTTCTCACATTCAAACTGAGGGCCAGTGATGCATTCATATTTTTCGTGCCTCAGTTTGTTTCTTCTATATTTATAATGCTTTTTCTGGCATATAGAACAAACATATTTTGATTCATTCTCAAGTACAGTTTTTTTCCTCTCGCTACATTCACCTAATTTGGGCTTCTTTTTTAATTTTAACGACCCTTTAATTTTGCTCGTCCGTTTCATAATCTTTCTCAGTCTTTTCTTTTGTCTATGGCCAATTATGCTTTTAGTTATTAAATTTTCCTCCGTTTTAATATTGATGTTCTTAAGAAATCCACGTGTTATGGGAAAAGGAGTTTTAGCATAGTTCAGTGCGCTAGTTAGGCTTATTAGTGGTATGATTGTTTCTGGAAGAGCAAACATGAAAAGCGAAAATAAATTCACATAATACAAAGCAGTAGTTAGTTACAGTGACGCCAATAAATATTGTAACAATATATAGGAGTGCGAAATAAAAAGAAACTGACATTAAAATATGTGCACTGTATTTATTATTCACATAACGGATTTTAGATCTTATTAGAAGAATGTTAGTGTTCAAAATGTATTGTTGTAACAGAAATATGGCTGTAAGTTTATGAGAAGCAGTGTTACATGCTGGCTATAGTTAGATGAGGAATGGATTGGGATCAGTTCGTCCGTGACGTTTGATATCATACGTAGATGACCTAAATCTGCATAAAAATATACCATTCATATTTGCCCTGTTATTCGTGATGTAGAAATGAAATGCGCATCCACTGGACACCGTAGAGTAGCTACATGCTTCCAGGTTGAGATTTAAATATATGTCTTGACAACATGCATGCTTTATAGAAAAAAAAACCTGTCCCTAATCACTGATGTTTTAGAACACGAATTGCTAAGAATAGACATCTGCAGTGAAATCACATGTGAATGCAAAAAAGGAATAATATGTAAATAATAGATAAATAAGCAACATAACTAACATTCTACGTTCATAAGAAAATAATTGACATTTACCTTTAGTTTACGGCTGCGGTGCGTTGTCACAATCTTCTATCAACAAACATTTATTTTCCATCAGAAAACACAAACGTGTACCAATTCGTGTACTTTCGCGACGTGTTTAGCTACGAAACTTAGCTTTATACTTACTTTTTGCGAATCTAAGTTCCTACTTTTTTTATAAAACCGCAATAACGATGGCAGTGTGTTGTGGTGCAATGTAAAATATGTTCTACCTACATATATACTATTACTACATTGATAATGAGATGTTAAATCTTACTTACCATACAAAGTTGCGTGACATTCCATTCCATGTTACAATATAAACCGGGTTAGCACTAAATATCGTAAGTGACAGTGTCATTGCTACAGGTTCTATGGTATCGTTAAGCATGCAATGGTCTACGCTCATTGGTCCCACACAAACACAAGCAGATACACAATATGATATTCTTGTGATAATAACAAACTGAATGGATACTTACCTTGTTGTTTTACCTCGCCTTTGATAAGGCTACACATAATGAACATACCAAAAACCATTACCTTAAAATTACCAGTTGCACTGAAATATCTTAAAAGGTTTACAATCATATAAAAATATAAATTGATAATATGATTAGTAGTTATAATAATATTAGATACTAATTAATATAAGGTTGAAGTTTCACATGTGAAAACACTAGCACTCTCGTATCCGCTGTTGTGAAATATAATATTTATATATAACAAGATAAATAGATTATTTTAAGCAATGACTGTTCGTCTAGTTTCAAATTATGGGAAGACATTGCGCATTTCATCCGTTCCTTGTATGTCTGGAACAATTAACTCTTTTGGACCAATAATATATAAAAACAAATAATATGCGTTTATAATTATAACAATTGCGTTTAATTATAAAAGTTTATTGTTCCAGAATATCACTTGAGTCCCATAAAACATCGAACATTGCAAGTTTTCAATATCTGTTGCATGTACTGTATCGAGTTCGTGCAATGTGAGATGTTTGTATAAAATGCAACGTTGCAGATACGTCTGTGACAAATGCACATAACTGCATCTGCAAGGTTGCTGCAAGTACAATGCGTGCTTACCTTGCGACTCTCGAACACTGTCACTCGAATTTAGAACATCGTCTTGAGATCGTTCCATGTGCCATTGGAAATCTGGAATGAACACAAACATTTCATTATTTAAATTAAAACATTCATTCCTAATAGACTACTAATATATTGAGAAACTTATTTTAATAGACATATGTACCTTCACTCTTATTTATCTCATACTAGCTACCCGCCCCGGCTTCGCAAGAGTGTACATGTATTATACATATAAACCTTTCTCTTGTATCACTCTATGTATTGCTAAAAACTACATTAAAATCCGTCTTTTAAACTACAAAGATGAAAGACAACAAACTGCGAAAGCGACTTTATTTTACACTATGTAATGATTTATTACCCGTCACATTGCTGTATTAGAAATACCGAAATTTTCTTTACGTTTTCTGGTACATCCTATTCCTACAATATTCTAAAAGTGCATACAATATTAAAGTTTTTTTGTAATGGTAAAGTACAGGAAAAGTATAAGTGTGTATTTTTATATAGATATAGATAACTCGTTATATTTGTATAAAAAAATATATTTTTCATTCTACGCCTAAGAGAATAAATATTTATTATTACCGTTTCTAATAGTTGAAAGGAAGTCTTCAAGCCTTTGATTGTGTATTTCGGTATGTGACCTAATTTGTGACTAATTATGTGTTTTTTCATCCAAAGCCCGAGTAATAATAATGAATCAAGATGGAGAATTTGTGGTCAGAACGTTATTAATATCTAATGGGGACAAAACCACAAATCAATAACAGATTCCAGATATGATTCTTTTAGGGAAATCATAGTTTCACAGCAATATTGAATATGTTACATTCCACAAAATTTATACAAAAAATACACATCCGTAAGTATTTAATTTAGATTAAATTTAGATTTAAGAAATTAAAAAAATATATTACAATGAATATTTTTTGGCGAAAATAAGCAGAAATAAGAAGCTCAAGTATTTTCTGATAAATCAAAGTTCTTACAAATAAAATGAATGCGATTCGTCGCACGGTACATAAATTTATATTCATGACATGATTGTATTCATGGGCAAAATGTGATGAAGACCTATTTACTTATGTCAGGTAATAGGTTTATTCTTTCACACCACTGCCCATCAATCTTTCACCTAATGAATGCCATATGGCAATGGAATGTCATGCAACTTTGTATGGTAAGTAAGATTTAACATCTCATTATCAATGTAGTAATAGTATATATGTAGGTAGAACATATTTTACATTGCACCAAACACACTGCCATCGTTATTGCGGTTTTATAAAAAAAGTAGGAACTTAGATTCGCAAAAAGTAAGTATAATATGGCATTATACTCGCCAAATTGTATAATTTTATAAGGGCAATAAAGAATCAATAAATGCCAGATAGTTTAGAACCATATGACAATGTAATTGTGATTAAAAACAACGGATCTTAATCAATATGTTCCTTTATGAAAGAGAATTACTGGCCGAAGGGGAGGTGGTATCGGCGCTACCGCGGCAGATTGCTGCCGTCAATGCCGCGACCACAATGACGATATATATTTACTTACTAGCTGAGCCCGCGGTTTCACTCGCATAAAATATATAGCCTATATGTCATTCTGATATATAATTTATATTACTGTAAACTTTCATCAAAATCCATTTAGTAGTTTTTGCGTGAAAGAGTAACAAACATCAATCCATATTCAAACTTACGCGTTTATAATATTAATAAGATATCATTATAATATATGTATGTTAGTTTATATCAGAGATTCCCAAACCTTTTTGTGTCGAAACCGAAAAATCTGGCAAGGTCTACCTTGATCTAGATTTTTCGGTTTTGGGTAGACCTCCCATTCATTCCTGGTATTTTTTTTTAAATTTCTAACTGTAGTAAAGTTTAGAGTTAAAAACATAAAGTAAAACCAATAAGGTAACCGCTGTCGTAGACCCATTGCAGTTTGTTATAGATCTCTGGGAGTCGATATAGACCACTTTGGGAATCACTGGTCTATATGGTATTTATAATTAGGTTTAAAATAAATAAATCAAACTGAACACTAACTGCGTACGACGTCGTTGTGCGTAGCTGTGGGCTGCTCCTCCGCCTCCTCGTCGAGGGTGAGATCCTCAACACCATCTCTGGCGACTTCCTCCTTGCACTGCGTCTCGTCGCCGTTGCCTTGAGCGGTGTCAGTGGCAGGCGGTATGGGCACCGGCGCAGTCTCAGTCGACATGCGACGCGCTTTCTTCCGGCGGCGAGTTGGACTTACTGAACCTTCACGGCTGTCTATACTGCCATCTCGAACCTGTAGAGTAAATTTTCTATTAGTAACCCATGCTGGGACGTAATAACCTTATAACCTTGTAATAACCATGGAAGGCTGGCTGTCTGTTTATTCAAAAGAGCAACAAACAAGTTTCTTGCTCGTTCTTGTGATATTTTTTGATAAAATACAAATTTTATGGTCGCCCTACTTGGCAGTAAGGACAGTTAAAATAAAGCAGTGTTCCCTCAATATTAATCTATGTTTCCAACAATCTATACACCGAAACAATAACTGGTTTAGTCCTGTTGCTTTCCCTGAGATGATCGCCATAATGTTAAGTTTATTTCCTTTGACTTCCACGATATAGGCATAACCTCGTGCAAGGTCATAGACTAACTACATTAAACATTAAATTACTTTCAGAGAATTTAAAAAAGAATTTATATTCTCCGAAAATAAAAGTTTCTTATAAGAACGATAAAAGATATAAGAACCGATTTTGAATTTTTTTTGTGTCGGATAGCCCCCTTTGTCGAGGATATAGGCTAACTATTATCAAGCTACGACCAACAAGAGCGGGGATACACTACAAAACTATCCCAAAATCGGGGAAAAAAGTGGAGCCGAAGTCGAAAAAATGTTTTATTCAATTGAATTAAGTATTTTTTTAACACATGCCAACATATTCCAAAAATTTCCACTGCAAGGAAAGCCGCATGGAATGTATCTAGATAATTTGACTCACTAAGATACTTTACAACCATCTTTGTCAATGGAATGGCACCAATCAATGCAGGCCATCAAATGTTAAACGGTAATAGTCGCCTATATACATGAACATCGCGTTGTAATATGACACCCGTGATACCATTCGTGCATTTATGCGTGGTATAGCAATTATAGAGGACTAAGATGATACATCACATACATACATACATCTTGTCCTGCAATTTCAGCTTTTTATTGGGCACTAGCTTTTGCCCGCGGCTTCGCTCGCGTTAATTTATCCCCTTAGGGGTGGAATTTATCAAAATAGTTTCTTAGCGGATGCCTACGTCATAACATCTACCTGCATGTCAAATTTCAGCCCGATCCGACCAGTGGTTTGGGCTGTGTGTTGATAGATCACTGTGTCAGTCACCTTTGAGTTATATATATTTAAATGTATCTTTCGATTACTATAGGTGGGTATCTTGGTTGACTAATTTGAATGACATTGGTATAGAGAATTGTCAGAATATATTATATTAAAATTATATTCTGTTTATTTCTATGTATTGTATGGTATCAGGAAAAAACGACTACGTACTTGTGTTTTTTATAATAATAATATACCTGCACAATTCACACAACGCCATCTAGTCCTAAGTAAACAGAGCTTGTGTTATGGATACTAAAAAACTGATATACTTTTTTTCTATATACATACAAATCACTCAGACCCTTATATACAATCATACTAATGAATACAAAAGTTTGTAACGTGCTAGGAATTGAAACTGCGACCATTGGAGGTAAAACGGTGTGCTAAATCGCTAGACCACGGCCTCCGTCATTTACTTACATGTTTGTATGTATTCAAATTAAAACTACAAAAAATTGGACTGAATCAAAGACAACATGTTATGGGAAGCTTCCTATGAGAAGATCTACATTCAATTCCTAATTCGCGTACAAACAAATACACAAAGAAAATGTCTAAAAACTTTTTGACCTCAATAAGTACATCATAAACAACATAACCACCGGCAAAATTCAAACACTGTTCATTTAAGATTTTATTATATGAATTACTAGCTGCACCCGCGACTTCGTCCGCGTGGAAATTAACTTATATTTCTAAAATAAAAGTATCCTCAGTTACTTCTTATTACATCAGCTACCCGCCCAAAAAAAGCCCCGTCAAAATCGGTCCAGCCATTTCAGAGATTAGCCGGAACAAACAGACAGACAGACAAAAATTGTGCAAAATGTTATTTTGGTGATATATTCATATGCATGTAGTAAAAAACGGTTATTTCAATATTACAAACAGACACTCCAATTTTATTTATATGTATAGATATAAGTAATGTTTTATTTTCTTACATCGTGAAATATGAATCAACTAAGTACATTATGCTTATGTAATTCACTTTTTCTGTACTTGAAAAGTGGTTAACTACGACTGTAATTGGTCTAATTAATTAGTGGCAATTGTGCCAAGTAGCTTATGTAAGGTTAACATTTATGATTGTAAATGCCTCACATATAAAAAAACAATCTAAGATGTTAATACTAATTTAGGTATAGTTGTTATGGTGGGGTTCTTTTTGTATTGAGATGATATGTTAACCGATAAAGAATATGTACGTTTGAAGAATTGTATTGCCTTTAATTTCTGATGCCAAATTTACACTCAGCCCGAGTGGGCAGGGAAGTGAGCAGCGCGAGAGTGTAAACATGAGTGGAAACACTTCCCATGCCATTGGCGCTGCACTCGAGTCAAAGGACTGGCAGCGTGTTTTTGCATTCAGCCCTCTCGCTCAGTTGTCGCCCGGCAATTTTTCCGGTAGCATTACAATTACGTCAATCAGTCGGTATTTGACATTAAAACTATATACTAAATCATAAATTAATAAGTAGGTCGTATATGCTCGTAACAATAGTATTTAATGAGGTCATTCTTGGGTTTAGCTGCTTTCTATTGGAATTTAGCAATAAAAAAAGGAAATAATATTTTATAGACATAAGGAATTTTTATGCCTATAATTGATAGTCATTAACCTCTATTTTTGTGGATAATATTCAACACTAGCTAACCGCGTAGAATTTGACTTAATTTTTCTAAATTAAAATAATTTTTCTATAATAAAAGTAGCCTAAGTTACTCCTTATTACATCAGCTACCTGCCAATAAAAGTCCCGTCAAAATCGGTCCAGCCATTTCAGAGATTAACCGGAACAAACAGGTAAAAAACCGTTATTTCAATATTACAAATAGACACTCAAATTTTATTTGTGTATAAATAAATGTGGGCATTATTAAATGTTTATTTTTTAGAGCTTGTTTCAGTTTCATTTTCGGACTACTCCAATGACACTGCGGCCAACATGGCCGCAGCTGGCCTTTACAGCTTCACCGGATGATAGGGGGTGAGTGCAGATGGCACTACAAACCTGCGAAGTGTTTTTGGAGCGGCCGAAGACAAACTCCCGCTTGATAGATAAGATTTTTACAGTGCATTGTTTTTTGAAAAAAGTATATGAAGAATAAATAACAAAATAACTTTTATATATTTTATATATGGTATAAGATACATCAATTTGCTTTGACAGATTTATTTAATAGATTAGGCATATCATTACACAGTATAAAACAAAGTAGCTGTCGCTGTCTGTCCCTATATATGCATAAATCTTTAAAACTACGCAACGAATTTTAAAGCGGTTTTATTTTAATAGATAGTGATTCAAGAGGAATGTTCATATATATGTAATAATACATGTACACCCCCGTGGGAAGCCGGGGCGAGTAGCCAGTTTTAAATAAAATATACGTAATTAATACTTAATGAAAAACTAAAATTAATCACTTTAAATACAAAATAATGAATGTTACCATAAGTTAAGGTATTCTATTTGGCCACCATCCAAAATACAATTCAGTAAGTTGTTAATAGCGCTAAAATATTTGAAATATGCAGTTTTAAATACAATGTTTGTAGAACAAATATCTAAACTAACATTGTATGGTCTTGAAGTGTGGTTATCATTATAAAATTGTAGATTTGCTATCAGTTCTAAGTCACTGTGGTTCTACCAAGCTTTTTATCTATCCTTATCTACATAATAAACTATGAAATTGTGACCGAAATTCACTTCATAACATGTGACATTAACCAGTCGTAGTGACTGTCCAAAATTGTCTTCGTGGGTACCTCACTTATTCAGGCGGTCGCAGGGTATTTTTGTAAGTTGTGTTTCGGTTGTACGGTGAGACAGTGTATTACATGATAAGGGACATGATATCTAATTCTTCTGGAATTGCAATGTATGATACGTCTAGAATGGCAATCACGAGTTTCTCATGATAACGTCATGTCCTAGTGCTTGCTGTTCATGTATACAGGCGACGTTTAATACTGACTTTCGGCTTGTTTGTCATTTACTAGCTACTTGCCCGGCTTCGCCCGGGTGTACATTATCCATATAAATCTTCCTCTAGAATAACTCTATTAAAAAAACCGATTCAAAATCCGTTGCGTAGTTTTAAAGATTTAAGCATACATAGGGACAGACAGCGACTTTGTTTTATACTAGGTAATGAAGTTCAATAAAGTCTTTATGATAGAAAAAAAATTAAAAGTATTTTTCTCTATCATAAAGAAACTAAGGTAGTAAAAATAACTAGTTTAGCATAATAATAACTAATTTAGCACAAAAAGTTGCCAACTTAGTAATTATTGTATTCATGAAGCTAATAACCAAATGAAGATTACAATGTCAACATTTAATTACTATTATCTTTTGTCTCATTCCAGTTTAATACTAGTCAAGCTGGTAGAAAGAGATGCTACTATATCAAGCAATCCTTCCAATTAAGTAGCAATGTTGGGACAGAGAAATGTGTCATCTTCAAGTTTATTCACTTAATTTAACCACTTCATGGTGCAATTCTGTTAAATAAAGATGGTTTCAACATTCCTATGTATAAGATAATAACTGAAATGTATGTTTTACTATGAATAAATAAATTTTTAATATTCCAGTGAGTAGCTTAGTAATGGCAACATTATATTACTATCAAAGTATACATATAGATACAGAGTGAAAGATTAGTATTTTAACAAAACGGTCACCTTCTGTTGAGGTCATTACTATTTTTTGTACTTGTCCTGTAGTGTGTAAAACAGTCATAATATTACTAACTGTTACCCATGTCTGTTGGCTTTTTTTAAATAATATATAGCCTATGTTATTCTTGTGATATGACAATAAAAAATTTCATTATAATCTTTGTTTGTACTGGTCCACCTGATGGTAAGCAGTTACCATGGCTTATATCCATAAGCGTACACCCTATAACTGATACACAACATACAAAGCAAGCTACATGGCAGCTTAAAATTGATGAGGCCGAGATACTCAAGTATACAATTTAATACAGCTTACCACTGGTAACAGTATTTGTTCAGTTATTAAGGTATAAAAGGCATTAAACAGAAACACACTCTATAATTACAGACGGCGTGTTAAACCGCTAGGCCTCTGTGGTCTAGCAGTTTAGCACACCACCTTACCTTCAATGGTTGCAGATTCAATTTCTTACATTCTACAAACATGTGTTTTCAAGAGTATGGTTTGTATCAGACTGGGTGTTTCCAAAGTATATTATGTAATTAGTAGTTATTTATTAGTTGTATATTCATAGTTTAGTAGTATATTGTAAAAGTATATTTTTAAATGAATCGATCAGTTGTTTAGTTCCACAAACTCCACATAGCTTGGAACTAGATGGCGTTGTGTAAATTTTAGTGAGTTTGTATTTTTATTATTAACATGTTAAAGACCATATAATCAGCGATAACACCGCAACGAAAGTAAATTTACACATAGGTATCGGGTGATCACCCATTGACACTTTAATTGAAATATTTTTTTTATCAAGTAATCAGTCTTCCAGACTATAAGCAGATTTGTTGATTATATTATAATCAACAAATTTGAAATAAATCTAGGGGTTAAATAATGTCTACCTCAAATTATTGTACACTAAAAGCATATTTAAAAAATAATATATGTAATTAACAATAAAAAAAATGCCAGTTCCTATGTAAGAAATAAGATCTTTCAATGCAATTTCTAGTGTTAATGTGTAATGTTAGTATGGATGAACATACCTGTGGGGGTGGTGAGGGTACTCGAGGCGGGTGTGCAACCACGGCCTGGGCCGGACGCGACGGTGGCCTCGAGGGTTTATTGTCTGACAGTCCCTTGATCTGTAACGACTCTGCAGCCTTCAGCAAAGCGGCCAATTGATCCTGAGATATGTTCACTTCTCCTCTATACATATAGTCCATCATAGCTCGCAGTTCTGCATATTTTACATCTTTTAATATAATTATTGGATGTTTGTCATACTGTTGTGATAATACACTCTGCAACAATAACATTGTTTTCTTTGTGAACATTTTGTTTTCTAACGTTTATTGTTTGTGAACACATTTTTATGTTATTACACTCAATGTTTATATGGCAATGAAAAAAGAAATATATTTTGTTCAAGTATATGAGATTAAAGGAAACTATTAATTAATTTCTTAAATATACCAAAACAATAAAACAAGTATGTATGCAGGATAAAAATTTTTTAACAATCTACTACATAAATATTTCATACTAATGATTTTTTTAATAAATCAGTTAATTTAAACCTAATTGCCAGTAATTAATGACCTGTTACATTATTCTAAACACAAAATTATGACATCCATGTTACAAATGATGCCAATTATTTATGTTAACAAATTTATTAATGTCTTTGCATTAATAAATTCAAAAAGTGAAACATTTTAGGAAAGTGGTAGAAACAACTTTCAGCTGCCAACTCATCTATGCATCAGTTTATACTAATTGCTAACGCATGAAAGCTAGAATGAAACAAATGGAATGTTTATTAGAGCAAAACTGTGCTGCCTTGTAACTAACTTAAACACGATAGCAATTGACCTACATATTAGAATTGTGCGCGTACATTGAGCGCCTAGTACCAACCTCGAAATAAGGACTGCAAGCCGACAGGACCACTTTGTGAGCCTTGAGTGTTTGTCCTTCCGCTGCCAGGGTACAGTCTACGTGAATACCCTTCTCTAATAGCGTGTCGAACACAGACACCAGTGTTGACTGATGGTTGTTCCACCTCAAGCAGAACTGCTGGTCGTCGTCCATGATGCCGACTTGCCACTCGTCGCGCCCTCAGCCCTATTACACCAAACAACCAAATTAATGCTAAGCCTAAACAAGGCGCAAACACCACGCAGTACTTAACTAGGCCATTAAAACTTTGCGACCGCCACACAAATAACACACAGCACGATTATCACAAGACTGAGTAAATTATCTCAAAGAATCACCTCATATGATGAGATCACGCCCCAACTTAACTAATTTAACTTTAAAGATCACATACGAGTCGTCGTAAGCGACGCGGCACAAAGAAAATGGCCGCTTTTCCAGCGCGACAAAAAATAAAATGGCGACGAAAATTCTAAGTTTTACATTTTCTGAACAAACTTTTCATGACACTTGTGGCTCATTCAAGTTCATCGAGCGATTTCGATTCGCTAAAGTAGGGTAAAGTTTAAAGTCAACAAAGAACTTCAACAAACTTTACTTCGAAAGTTCACGAGTGGAAATTTTCAAGATGAAAACTCGTAGGCAGCAATAAGTGCTTAGCCCTTATCACGTTCACAATGTTATACACATCCCAAACACTTACCTTGACTATTTCATCAACTATTTGAACAAATTATAACACTATTGTTCGCAGAATGGAAATAATCTATTACGGCCACATTAATTTAACACATTTGCACACCCGCCAGCTTTCTTTCTTGGTTGAAAACACTAACTAAAAATACTATGTTCGTTCTATGCTGCAAGTTTAGAGAAAGGCACCTCTACAGAAAATACAAACGAAGTACAAGTTGGTTGGAAGCGACGCGAGTGACCCAAAATAAGCTCCAATAATGTTGCCATTAGTAAAAATTAAAGCTTAAATACATATTTGTGGCCATAAATTACGGTTTTCTATGTAATTTTTATGTCTGTTGATACATTTACTATATATCTAAAGGTATTTGTTGAATATTAACTTTGTTAATTAAAATTGTTTAGTTGTAAGAAAATTAAATGCTAATGTTGTTAATGCCATCTAGTGTCATCATAATGAATTAATACAGATATTGTTTGTTTGGCACTACGCCACGGGCGAGGCGGAGCGGAGGCGCGGCAAAATGAAATTGATGAAGTACATAATAGAAATACAAGAGCGATAAGAAGCAACTTATATTTGTTTTTTCTTGTAATTCAATATAATTTAACTTTGTATTATATATATTAATTTTGCTAATATTAATACGAAATTTCAGGTGTGGCTTACACCTGAAATTAATAAATGTGTTTACGTTTCAATTTATCTAAAATTTTGCTTTTCATTTCGAGAAACTGCCAGTGTTACTTAATTTTACACTTAGGTATATGGTGGCTAAACCTACTCAATTTGAAATCTAGTGAAAGTCAAATTTGGTACTTACTGACATTCGTGTATATTTGTGTCAATATCGAATTTGCCTTTCACTATTTTTTTTAGCCGAACTTAAAATCACAGCATTGCTGTGTGTACCTTGCACTATATTTTAGACTTTTTTTTATTAAAAAAATAGTGCAGGGTATCCATAGATATCATAATGATTTATTTTATAGGGATTGATACAATAAATTCTAAAGTGTATGTAACGAATAACCACAGTTATCCACTGCATGTAGTTTACCTGTACTATTTACGTTACCCGGCTACACATGCTACGATTTAGGTAGATATAGGTAGGTATTTTAAACCGTAGAGATTTGTCGTAGCGAGTATGAAAGGTATAGATGCAAATTTTTGCTCGTTCTTCTTGTGATGAGTCTGCGTTCCGAATGAGTGGTAGAATAAAAAAACAGCGACTATAAAAAAGTGCTTATATCTATGTACATTATATATTACTTAGTTAATAAGGAATAAGGATGTATTTATTAATGTATACAGATAAATACATTTTTACTTACGTCTACTTTTCCTAGTTTCCTTATCAAAAAAGGAGTCACAAAATTAATAAAGAAAGAAAAAAATATTTAGGTGTCTGTTTGTAATTTCAAATTAACAGTTTTTTACTAAATATATATAAAAGTATATACGATACTTACATCATCCGTCACTGATAATCCCCTTAGTACCGATCTGGTCGTCCTCCACGAGGTCCATGGTGCAATATTCTATACTTAGCTATTAAAAAAATATGATAAAACGATAATACTATGATAATGATTGTTGACCTTATATCTTACCAAAATTGGTTACATTAAGGAACCTACAAGCACAGTTAATTATTATTATTAACTGCAGTTTCGATTTAAGTAAAGAAAGGAAGTGATTGTATTGAAAACTAGCTGTACACGCGACTTCATCTGTGGAATTTAACTTTATTTTTCTAAAATAAGAGTACCCTAAGTTACTCCTTATTACATCAGCTACCTGCCAAAAAAGGTCTCGTCAAAATCGGTCCAGCCATTTCAGAGATTAGCCGGAACAAACAGACAGACAAAAATTGTAAAAAATGCTATTTTGGTGTATGTACCGCATTTATATTCATATTTATGTAGTAAAAAACGTTTATTTCAATATTACAAACAGACATTCCAATTTTATTTAGATGTATAGATTTGAAAGTACTGCAACAATCAGACGGGAAGTTACATATTGTCGGCTGGTGTTTTAAGAAAAGAACAAGTACGAGTATAAATAGAAATTAACTGTTCCGTATATTATTTATTGCTTTGTATAGGTTACATTGTTCTTAGAATTCAATACACAGTTTCATATTCAGCTACATTTTGGAGCATGCAAATTTATATTCATATTAATATTAAATTAATAAATTAAACAAATATTAATAATGAATGTCATAATTATTCCAAATAATAAAATGTCAAAATATTAGGTCCTTACATATGAAATTTGCGTTATGTCGTACTGGCCACTTTGATCTCAAATATCTACTCTTTAGTTAGGAATTCCAATTTCAAATTTATACAGCCATTTACTCATTCATTTGTATTTCGAAAACCGTAATCCATATGTTTTTGCATCTTTGGTTTTTTCTTTGCGTCACTCAGTTCACAAAATTAAAAACTTAAAATATCGCGTTATTTACGAGTACGAGTTTCGCCGTGGCACCAGTGGTGGAGAAACGGCTCGAAGGATTATGTGTACGGCGGTGGTGTCGCAAAAGGAAACACAGTGCGTTTTGGGTTCCAACGTTTTTGTTCTGGAAATTTCGACCCGCAAAACAAGACCCGTGGGCGGACGGAGTCCATGGTTGATAATGAAGAATTGTGGAAGCGGATCCATCGCAAACCACATCCAAGTTAGCTGCAGGCTGCGGTATTAGTGACAAAACTGTTTTAATCTACTTGAAGCAAATTGGGAAGGTGAAAGAGTTGAAAGGTGGGTCCCTCATGAATTGAGTGGGTGCAAATCGACAAACGCGCGTAGACTCTTGCGTTAAATTAGTCAACCGGCATAATAATGAAGGGATTCTAAATCGAATCATTACCTGTGATGAAAAGTGGATCTTGTACGATAATCGGAAACGCTCATCGCAATGAACCAGCTAAATCCTGACTCAAGCGAATTGACTCAAAAAAGTTACTTGTGACCATTTGGTGGACTGATGCCGGTGTTGTACACTTCAGCTTTCTTAAATCTGGCCAGACGATTACGGCAGATGTGTATTGTCAGCAATTGCAAACCATGATGGAAAAGCTAGCTGCTAAACAACTGAGGCTGGTCAATCGCCGTAGGCCACTGCTGCTTCAGGACACGCTAGACCACACACTGCACAACAGTTACCAATTAGAAGAGCTTTAATTGGAATGTCTAAGACATCCACTGTACTCCCCGGACCTTGCTCCAACACATTACCATTTTGTTCGAAATTTGTATAACTTCTAACAAGGGAAAAAATTCAAACCCGATGAGGCAGTCCAAAATGCGTTCAAAGATTTTATTGATTCCCGTCCGAATGTTTTTTTTAGTAAAGGGATCTATCAATCAATAAGTACCTATGAGATGGCAAAAACGCATAAATAGCAATGGTACATACTTTAATTAAACAAATATATTATATTTTGAAAAAATCGAAAAAGTTACTTCATTACAAAACCCTAATTTCACATGTTAGGACCCAATATAATGCAGGCCATCAAGATTGATATAGATTTGTACATTTTTATGCAATACGTCAGTTTGTACCAAGAATTTTTTTGTATCAGTGTATACTATTTTAATACTAGTTGACCCGCGCAACTTCGTCTGTATTACACATATTGACATTTATATATTTCTTCCAAATTACTATGTTTTTAAATTGTATGTATTATTCATTATTCATTTTTGAATAGTCATATTTCTTTATTTTACAACTCATTCTGAACGCAGACTCATCACAAGAAGAACAAGCAAGAAACTTTGTTATTGTTACACAATAACAAGTTAGAGACATGCGAAAATCAACATAGAAACCGCTAGTTATTTATTCATAGTTCAATCCGATAATATGTTTGTATTTTAAGTTTTTTCTATAAAAACACTATTGTTTATAAACTCTTTAATGTTAAAATAAGTTTTTTTTAAAAGGAAGTATTTTATACGACATTACTGTAAAGTTTCACCAAAATCCGATCAGTAGTTTTTGCGTGAAAGAGTAACAAACATCCATACACTCAGGGTGAATCCATGGAATGTTAAGAAGTGAAGTCCCAACCACAGCCTGAGAGAGCAATCTTGATTTTGATGTAAAATTTGATTAAGATCCGTCCAGACGTGTCGTAAAAATTTAACAAGCAAACAGACGGACTTATAAATTATTAGTATTCACATCTTGCTATAGTTTGTATTAATATCGCTTGAGAACGGTGTTAGCAGGCAAATGTAAAACTTAGACGATCGCAAAATAGTTTTCGCCAATTTACTTTACAAGAATTTCAGACATTTCTTGAAAAGTTTTGTGAGAACTAACTATTTGGAGGAAGTAACAAAAGCTACGCAAAACAGCTTCATCTGTAGTCTGTACACTAAATTGGAGTCAGATAAATAAGTAATTTGATTCGCTATTCGGCTAATTTGCCTTGATTAATTAGTTACGTCTAATACATGAAAAAGAGTAACAATTACTCTTGCGATAAAAAACGACAAAGCGAATGCCTATCCTCCAACAAGAACGTCGCTTCGTTATAAAAATCAATAGCATTAGTAAGTCCGTACAAACGAATTATACGAATCTCTCTGTGTGCGTCGGCAGCCTCTCGGTGTGCGGGAAACAAAAAAAAACCACCAGCGAAATTCTTGTAATAAAAATCAATCGGAGCGGAGAGAGAAGGCGCCGCGCGGGGCGCCGACTGGTCGGGCGCCGGGGGCGGCCACCCCCTGGCCCTCTGCCTCCACGCTCTGCATATCTACACGCGCTATATTGCATCTACCCTCCCTACAGTTCCTACTAGTCGGATTTTTAGCCACACGCTACCTAAACATTCCAACTTCTGAACTTTCTTAGTTCTAATCTATTACTAGTGCATGCCGGAATGTTACGAGTCGCAACAAAAGTGCAGCCAGGCCGCGGGAGGTGCGAGCGAGCGGCGCGCGGCCGTTTCCCGGCAAAAAGGCGTTTGTTTTTATTTCTTTGGCGCGGAAAAAAATCAGCACGCGCCGCCCTGCACCTCCTAAACATGCGCCACGCAGCGACGCAGACTCGGCCGGGTGTGTGCCGAATTCACTTTCATTTGCGACATCTCATCGTTTCCCGAAGGTCACGGTGCAGTGGCGGGCGCGTGGGTCCGGTGCATGTGTGGCGCGGGCGAGTGCTAGCGGCGGCCTCCGCTGACCGACTAGGTGAGTGAGTGGATTTCGCGCCCTCGTCTTCGCCGTTTTCGTTTCCCTCGCGTTTATCGGCTCCCGTTTTACGCCGTCCTTCGCCGTTCGGGAAGACGCTGGAAAGTGAATGCGTTCGTAGGTGGCGGTGCATGCCGGCTCACGCGGACTTGCGCTCGACACCGTGTGCACCTCGCGGAGGGTTATCCGCGCAAGTTTACATTCATCGATATCCGCAGGTGATTGCACACCGTTATACACTCTACTGACCTTTCCTTAAAGTCGTTTATACTAGAGTCTAGACACACGTCCGCTAGTCATAAACTTTTGAATAGACACGCGGGAAGTTTAGTCCGTGCGAACTTTCGATGTGAACTTTATAGACGAGTAGTGTTGTGGTGTGCGATCGTAATAAAAAGAATTAAAAAGCCCGGGAGACAATTCAGTTTGCCCAGCGTACGGAAGAGAGAGAGAGCACCAATTTTGCACTCTTCGTTTGTGCACCAATCGAGAAAAAATTCAATAATGCCCGCTTCCTTTTGTCTAATTGCCTATGTAAACCTACTTATAAATGCGATTGTTCGATTTTGCGTCATTGTTCTGTAAAATGGAGTGGGTACGGTTTCGATACGTCTTCTAGAAATATTTGTATTATAAGTAAATTTACATATTATGCATATCCAGGAACTGTATCTATAAACATTATTTAAAATGTGACCGTTGGTAGTGGATTGGACTGAGCTAGTAGACGTTTCCAGGAGATGCCTGGCAACGGATTGGCGCGGGTGAAATGCGAACCACTCTCGGACGAGGACGACAGTAATCCAAACTTCGCTAACAGCTATTTCACCAATCAGGTCGGTACATAATTATTAATTCATAATTATAAACCGGTTCTGTATCGATCAGGTAATGACTTCCCAACACTAACCGACATACCTACTTTATGAACAAAATCCGATAAACTCAATAGCTATTTATTTACTACTTAACTATACACGCGACTTCGTTCGCTTGGAATTTAACTTTTTTTTTCTAAAATAAAATATGTTTTTCTAAAATAAAAGTAGCCTAAGTTACTCCTTATTACATCAGTTACCTGCCAAAAAAAGTAACGTCAAAATCGGTCCAACTATTTCAGGGATTAGCCGGAACAAAGAGATTACACAGACAAAAATTGTAAAAAAAAATATTTTGGTGTATGTACCGTATTTATATTCATATGCATGTAGTAAAAAACGATTATTTCAATATTACAAACAGACACTTCAATTTTATTTATATGTATAGATGTAGAGATTAGTTACTTGTTGAAATTATAAATGTATACATATATGGCCTGAGTGCGGGATGTTTTAATAAAAAAAAAATAAAGCAATTGAATTTAAATTTAGAATAAGGAAATAGGCGCAATATAGATTTTTTTTGTTGTTATTAATTTCTGCTTGCGTCTTCATTTGCTCACTTGCAATGATTTAACCTACATATATACTTCTCCACTCCAAATTCAGTTTTGTAAAAAATCATCTGCGTGGGTACATAAGTCATATCTATAGTAGCCGAGCAGCTTGCTTTGTAAGCTGTGCTTCGGTATGTTGAGATTAGGTAGTGAAATTACGGTATAAGGAGTATGACACCTTTGTTCCCTGGAATGGCAACGTATTATTGGTATCACGGTCATTACATGATAACGTGATGTCCATAGTGTTATACCTGTATTTTTATTGTATATATTTGCCATAATTTTGGCGAATAATAAGTATAACAATGCAACTCACTTTCTCATTTAAAATGAGTAGGTACATTGATAGTTAGGACTTTTTATTTTTTTTACAAATATAGTATTTAAGTGACTCACTTTTTCATTTAAAAATACATATGACAGCCTCGGTGATCTAGTGGTTTAGCACACCGCTTTACTATCCGATGGTCGTGGGTTCGATTCCTCGCATGGTACAAACATTTGTATTCATGAGTATGATTGTTTGTATCGGTCTGGGTGTTATCTATGTATAATATGTATGTATTTACTGCATAAAAATCGGTTATTTCAATATTACAAACAGACACTCCAATTTTATATATAGATATGTATTTATAAAAAAAATGTATATATGTATTTGTATCAGTTATCTACTAACCATAAGCTCTGGTTAGCTTGGAACTACTTGTAGATGACGTTCCGTGAAATTCTCCTGATATATCTATATAAACATTATCTGTGTATTGGTTTATAAGCGAAGATGGACCAAAATGTAGGTGATAAAATGAGTGGACTCTATATGCGATGTACATAAATCAAACAATGGATAGAAAATGGTAAATACTTATAATTAAGATACGTGTACAAATGGTTGTAAGGCAAAAAGTGACAAATTCTAAAAGAAAATACATTTAAAATTGGCAGAAAAATCTATATATATATATATATAACTCAAAGGTAACTTACATAGTGATCTATCAACGCACAGCCCAAACTACTGGACGGATCGGGCTGAAATTTGGCATACAGGTAGATGTTATGACGTAGTCATCCGTTAAGAAAGATTTTGATTAATTCTACCCCCAAAGGGATAAAATAAGTTAAAGTTTGTATGAAACTTTGTCAATTTTAAACCGATCAGGCTGAGACTTTGCATGCATAAAGCTACTATGACGTAAGCATCCCTTACGAAAGGATTTTGATAATTAACGCGAGCGAAGCCGCGGGCAAAAGCTAGTAAACATATAAAAATGTGCAAAGAGTTTGCAACAGTCTGTCTCCTGATATATTATTATATAGAAGGTATTTCGACATTTTCTGCTTGTTGTAATGTTTATTATTTCTAGCTACCGTCGTTAGGACACCACATAAAATCTGAACATGAGTGCCGAAATGAAGGAAACGTTCCGTCACAGATTCTACAACATTTACAGGTAAAATATTTTTTATTTTTTTCTTACCGACTCTTTGGATGTTCATTTTTATGAACGTTATCTACATTCGTGTGTACTAAATTCAAATTCAAAATCATTTATTCATGTAGGACATTTTACCACGCGTCAAATTTTTACGTTATAATATATAATTTTTTTCCTACCGTCTAGTTCGGTATATAGATCCAATTGAGAAGAACTGGCAAGAAACTCAATTGAATTACTTTTTTTTAAAAGCCAGTTTATTTACAATGTATATTTATATAAGTCTCATTCTCGCTCGAACTGTTCATTGGGTAGAACGTGTGTTTGTAAAAGTAAAATAATTTTGTGATTAAGTGCAGCTAAATTGATTGTTATTACAAAGTGATACAGTGCAAATTTCTTTGGTTGCGGTCAAAGTACAAGTGAAACAGCAAGTATTGTATCTTTTTCTATTGAATCATAGTATACACAAAACAAACAGATAACAACAAAAATGCAACGTACACCTAAATCAAGCCATCCAATTCAGTATTTGTCACAACCTGATCTGACAGTTGAAAATCAAGATAAAGCTCGAAACATATATATAAGAAAAAGAAAAAACCCCGATTTTGAGATGATGGATATTAAGGATTCATTAATGCTTTCTTTTAAAAGCATGCTCAACTCCGAGATTACGGATATAAAAAAACAAAATACAAAAATACTGGAATCAAACGCTGAAATAATAAATATTTTGCAAATTAATGCCTCTAATTATCAAGAAGTAAGTGAAAAGGTTGAAACATTGGAAATAAAGCATGCTGCTGCACTGGATCGTATAGATGACCTTGAAACTCAGCTGGAGGGGATTCAAAAACAGTTAAAAAGAAACACAGTTGAAATAAGAAACGTGCCAAAACGTGAAAAAGAAAATTTGAATGAAGTTGTTGCGAATATTTATAGTGCTATAAACCTAAAAATGGAAAACGTCCCTATAAATGTGTTTAGAAGAGGTAAAAATATTTCACCAATTATAGTAGAATATCAATATTTGGAGCATAAAGAAATACTTATAAAAGCTTTCAAAAATTTTAACAATGAAAATAAAAACGCACCTTTAAATCGACAACATTTAGGATTCCATAGTGATAATTCACGAATTCATATAACAGAATCCTTAACTACTGAGTCAAAGAAAATTTGGATTGCCGCCCGTGAGCTTGTCAAGAAAGGTTCATATAAATATTGTTGGACATCACGAGGCACTGTTTTACTACGGAAAGATGATGGCTGTCCTGCTATTGCTGTTAAATCATATAAGCAACTTTGTGACTTGGACACACAATGACTATTTATTATAAGAATCTCTACTTGCTGTATTAGATTAGAGTTATTTAATTATTCATTTTTTATTTTGTATTGCCACATGAAGCTTGGTGATAACTATTCTCAATTTCTCACTTATGTTCCATATTTTTCCTACCAGACAATAAAATCATATATCTATTATAATATATATAAATATATTACTAGATTAACTACAATTATATTCCATTATATATACATTTCTATTGGTTCCACAATGTCCAGTGTCATGCCTCACTTAAATAAAGGTAAAGATCTCCAACCATACTCAAAATCTAAAGTAATATTATTTTACCATAATGTTGCAAAATGACATTAGTGTAGTATCCACCGATGTTGACAATATTGTTAGCATTGGTGACTCAATTGTGGTTGGTGATCCTGAAGCTTTTAAACAGTATAGTCTGACTACTGAAAACTCACTTAAGATTATCGTACAGAATATAAGGAGTATCAATCGTAATTTTGAGGATTTTAGATTTTTTTTGGCACGTAGTAATCTTACTTACGACTTAATTGTTCTTACTGAATGTTGGTTGCGAAATACCGATACAATACCTATATTTGAGGGCTATAATTCATATTCAACTTGTAAACATATTAACCAGAATGGTGGGGTAGTCGTATATCTCCACAATAAATTAACTAATATTCATGTATATGAACCAAATATTAATGATGCAGACTGTCTAGTTGTTAATGTCGGCAGAGATTGTGCATTCATATGCGTATATAGATCTCCTTCATTTGTTTTGCCAAATAATTTCATAAGTTCCTTGGACAAATTTTTAACTGATATTAAAAAGATTCCTAACATTTACTTTACTGGAGATATTAACATTAATATTGGCAAGGATAGTAATGATACGAAGGCTGTTGAATATCTGGATCTACTTGCAACACACTGTCTTCTTCCTAGCCATATTCTTCCTACTCGTTTTGATAAATGTCTTGATCATTTTTTCGTTAAATCAGATACTAGAATGTTAACAATGATATGTGAATCTTCAATTACAGACCATAGTACGTTGTATGTTAACATGACATTAACATCGCAGTCCAATAATATTTTCAAAAATAAAACTGTTGATAGAATGGATTATAATAAGGTTGTTGAACTATTAACGATGCATGATTGGGATGACATATTCTTAATAAATGACCCAGATAAAGCTACTGAGATATTTATGGATACACTACTTGCAATAATTAATAAATCGACGCGTTCATATACAATACCTTGCAGACAATCAATATCACAACCCTGGGTAACACCCGGACTGTTACGCTGTATGAGATTCAGAGACACACTCCATAAAAGACACATAAAATCACCCAATGATAAAATCTTAGAAACTTCCTACAAGCGTTACAGAAATCATTGCAATAAAATTCTCCACAATTTAAAAAACGCATATAATAAATCTAAATTGCAAAAATGTAAAAATGACATTAAAGGTACATGGCATGTCATAAAGCGTGTTTGCGATTTAAATAGGGATAATAATATGCAGTCCTATGACTTGCTTAAAATTAAAACTACTCCACAGGAATCTCTTGATTATATAAACAATTACTACATAACTATTGGAAAGAAACTGGCAAATAATGTATTAAACAGATTAAACCTAACGGAACATAAACTAGTATCTATCTCCAAAAGTGAAAATGGTCCATTAAATTCTTTTGTGATGTTAGAAACTTGTGAAGCAGAAATTTATGAGACGGTCATGTCGCTAAAGAATAGTAACTCTGTCAGTTGGGATAGAATGTCTTCTATATTTTTCAAAAGAAACATTAATTCTCTTATTGCACCTATTACTCATATATGTAATTTGTGTTTATCATCAGGTAAGTTTCCTGATGTTTTAAAATACTCCATTGTAGTTCCCATCTTTAAAACGGGGGATAAAGATTGTATAGCTAATTATCGCCCAATTTCGTTGTTACCAATTCTATCAAAAATATTGGAAAAAATTATTAATAAACGTTTGATTAACTATCTGGAACAAAATAACTTTATATCTCAAAATCAATTTGGTTTTAGGGGAAAGAAATCGACTATTGATGCAATCGAAAATTTAGTAACTCACATAGTGGAAAATCTTGACAGGAAGAAGAAAATAATAGGAGTATTTCTAGATATAGCCAAAGCATTTGATACTGTCTCCGGTCCCCTATTATTACACAGATTAGAATCTGTTGGTATCCGAGGTCTTCCACTGGAGCTTCTTAAAAGCTATTTATCAAATAGGTCACAAAAAGTTCGAATAGGAGATTTGTACAGTTCCAGACAATATCTTACATTTGGCGTACCTCAAGGCTCCGTTCTAGGACCTACACTCTTCTTGATATATGTAAACAGTCTATGTAATATGAAAATACAAAATGGTAAAGTAATAACTTTTGCGGATGACACAGCTATTTTATTTGAAGGTTCTACATGGGAGGAGGCTAGACTATCAGCAGAAAAGGGTATCTGCCAAGTAGCCAATTGGTTGGACTACAATATATTGACATTAAATTTGAATAAAACGCAATATATAACTTTTTCGATGAGAAATAATTTACAACCTAATATAAATTTTACATTGAGAATGCATACTTGTGATGTTTCTGGATTTACTAACTGCAACTGTTTTGTTCTTTCTAAGGTAGATAGTCTTAGGTACCTTGGAATTGTAATAGATCAAAATTTGAATTGGAAACAACATATTGAAACTATAAAATCTCGAATGCGAAAACTTATACCGATTTTTAAAAGAATTAGATCTCTAAAAGATAAAAAGGTTAGTAAAACTGTGTACATAGCTCTGTGTCAGTCTATATGTACATATGGCATTTCAGTATGGGGAGGTGCCAGAAAAAGTACTCTTCTGAAAATAGAAAGGGCCCAAAGATGTATTCTGAAAGTGATAAATTTTAAACATTTTAGATATTCAACAACGGAGTTATACAAACAATTTAAGGTATTGAACGTAAGACAGCTTTTTATCAAAACTGCTATACTTAGACAACATACATGTTTAGATCCTAAAATTATATGTTCTGGTAGAAGATTGCATGAGGCATATAGGGTTCCTGCATGTAGAACAACATTTGCTCAAGGTTTTTCTTACTTCTTAGCACCTTTCTTATACAATCACATCTGTAAAACTGTACCGCTGAAAAGTATGTCGAGACATAGATGTCGAGAGGCACTGCATGTATTCTTGAATAAATTGGATTATTGTGGAACTGAAAACCTATTAAAACTTGATGTATAAATGGGTATGGGTGGCCTATAGAATGGATAATTAAAATAATTTAATGCTAAAAAAAAAAAAAAAAAGCAAATATACTCCATACTTGTGTCCATCTGTCTTTAGTGGAATATTTACATTGTATACGTTTATACATATATACATTGTTATGTTATAATTAATAGTATCTTATTGATAAAATTTATTGTGTATTCTATTATACAAATCCCATTAAATAATCACGTATTTGTCTATGTAAATATATATCGTGTATAGAATGTATATTTAAATATGTGTAAGAAATATACTGTAAAAGATGTATATATATGTGTGTGTGTGTGTGTGTGTGTGTGTATATTTATATATATTCAAAACATAGAAATAGTAAATATATTGTTATTATTAATAAATTGTCTGGTAGTAGTTATTAAGTTTCTTTTTATGAATTAGTCTGTAATCCGAATATTTATCTGTTTTGTTTGCATATACTGTTTGTTATTTGCCCCTTTGGATGATCACGCGCTTATTTCATGTTGTATGTGAACAGTAATAGAATGTAAAAATCAACTGTAAGTGAATACAATAGAGCCTATATTTAAATGTATCATTAGTATGAACCGAGCTTGACTCATTACCTTGCCGTAACACAGTTTTTAATAAAAACTAGCACGGGGGGTAGTTTTCTTTCTTTGGTACTGGTACTGCTGTATGCTTAGTTTATTATGTACCCACTATAATTCTGCAAAATAAGGATTGTGTCCAATTTAACATACAAATTATTATCTAACTACTTAGAATTGATATTTGTTTCATCAGCATGCATTTATTAAGGACTTAAATTTATTTTGTTACCGGACTATGTCGTTTTTATTTGTTTGTTGTTTAATATTATTTGAATTGTTTAACTATAAAGTAAACGTGTACAAAACGCTGCTGTATTTACTAAGCAATTTTATTTTTGCAATAATATTGTCAAGGCTGTACTAAATATTAGTTCAATAAACATTATTATTATTATCTTATACTGATATTAATAATGAATAACTATAAAAGGTATTGGTGTGTACAATATCAATATATGTCTTCTTTTTATTTTATTTCGATATTATATAAGTTTACAATCCGCGACCACATGATAGCTTAATAAATATGACACTTTTCCAATTGAAAAGTTATTTTGTGTAGAAATCTTGACAGGTTTAGATGCAAGTGTAAAAACTAAAACAATGACAGCATACTCACGTAAGAGCGCCTCTGTGATACACGTTAGCTATATAATAGGAGTCATCGCGTTTACCATTATTATTGTACCAGTAATCTGTTATTCTATTATAGGTTGCCCTCTGCATCTCATCATTACATTTATCGAATATATATTATTGTATTAATTCACTTTATTAACATGTTTATTATGTCTTATGTCTTTAATATAAGTGTCTATGTCTAACATTAAATGAAAATCCCCTGCATGAACAACTATTGCCATGCACGTTCGTCATTCAAGTAATCTTTTAGTGAATTTTGCTCAATAAATATGATTTAACAGATATTTTGAATTTATTTAAGGGTAATTCCGATATATCCAACTATACTAGGCACCAACCCGGGCTATGTCTGCAAATGTGACCACATGGTTTAAGGATAAGGGGAAGAGGTTATGAAAATCGTCTGACGTAAATAAAAATATTAGTCTAAAATACAAAGATATTTTTTGGTCTGTTCTTATCACTACGACTGATTTAATTTTATTGTATATTTATATTTGACCCAAAATAATTAGTGCTGGTTGGTAGTTTGTATTCACACGTTTCGACTTGTAAATGTAAACTTATAAGGATTATTTAAAAGAGCAACACACACGTTTGTTGCTCGTTCTTCTTGTGATGAGATAGCTTTCCGAACGAGCGGCAGATAAAAAAAATGTTATAACTATTCAAATTAAGTTTATTTGAATAAATGATTTTCTATTCTATTATACTCTATTGTTGAGTAACCAAAACATTACTTTATTTTTGAATAACGAAATACATCTAATGTCCTTTAAGTATACAGGCAAATTATTATACGATCTTACAGCTTGGTAACGCGGACAATGCTCTACTACCTTAAAACTAGGAAACCAGTTACCCCTAACATCTCTTCTCTTTGCATTCTCTTGCATCAATCTCTCTTTCACAGTTATTATACGATCTTACAGCTTGATAACGTGGACAATGGTCCACTAACTTAAAACTAGGAAACAAGTTACCCCTAACATCTCTTCTCTTTGCATTCTCTTGCATCAATCTCTCTTTCACAGTTATTATACGATCTTACAGCTTGATAACGTGGACAATGGTCCACTAACTTAAAACTAGGAAACAAGTTACCCCTAACATCTCTTCTCTTTGCATTCTCTTGCATCAATCTCTCTTTCACAGTTATTATACGATCTTACAGCTTGATAACGTGGACAATGGTCCACTAACTTAAAACTAGGAAACAAGTTACCCCTAACATCTCTTCTCTTTGCATTCTCTTGCATCAATCTCTCTTTCACAGTTATTATACGATCTTACAGCTTGATAACGTGGACAATGGTCCACTAACTTAAAACTAGGAAACAAGTTACCCCTAACATCTCTTCTCTTTGCATTCTCTTGCATCAATCTCTCTTTCACAGTTATTATACGATCTTACAGCTTGATAACGTGGACAATGGTCCACTAACTTAAAACTAGGAAACAAGTTACCCCTAACATCTCTTCTCTTTGCATTCTCTTGCATCAATCTCTCTTTCACAGTTATTATACGATCTTACAGCTTGATAACGTGGACAATGGTCCACTAACTTAAAACTAGGAAACAAGTTACCCCTAACATCTCTTCTCTTTGCATTCTCTTGCATCAATCTCTCTTTCACAGTTATTATACGATCTTACAGCTTGATAACGTGGACAATGGTCCACTAACTTAAAACTAGGAAACAAGTTACCCCTAACATCTCTTCTCTTTGCATTCTCTTGCATCAATCTCTCTTTCACAGTTATTATACGATCTTACAGCTTGATAACGTGGACAATGGTCCACTAACTTAAAACTAGGAAACAAGTTACCCCTAACATCTCTTCTCTTTGCATTCTCTTGCATCAATCTCTCTTTCACAGTTATTATACGATCTTACAGCTTGATAACGTGGACAATGGTCCACTAACTTAAAACTAGGAAACAAGTTACCCCTAACATCTCTTCTCTTTGCATTCTCTTGCATCAATCTCTCTTTCACAGTTTCATTTTTAATAAATTCTTTTTTAAATTGAAATAAATGGTATTTATTCAGTAGAAGAAAAAACTAAAACACACATTATACAACCAAAAAAAAAAGAACAGTGCAACAATTTAAAAAAAAGTACACAAATTACGTGTGTGCGTGTATGTGTATGTTTGTCGAGGTATCTACTGAATAGGTCCGTGCTCAGCATAATGCTGCAGCGGCTGGAGCGCTGCAACGCTGCTTTTCAGCACAAAACAGGTGGTGTATTGCCGTGTAATAGTAAATTCTAGTAATAGTACTAATAAATAAAAACTAGGTACAGTTAAAATTTCTTGCTTGGCAAAGTATACTATATACTATCACCTTGGGAATACTGTAACATTCCCAAGGTGGTAGTATCTATATATGAGTGGTTTGCAATCTTTTTTAGACTTAAGATAATTTTATTTTCTTGTTGTACCATAATCGTTGATGATAAGATTTATAAAGAGATTTGTGAGGAGTCGGTGGTCTAGAGGCACATCGCTTTATTTCCGATAGTCGGTATAAATAGATTTGACGGCCTCGGTGGTCCAACGGTTTAGCTTTACTTTTTACGGTCGCGGGTTTGATTCCTTGTACGGTGCAAATATTTGTATTCTAAAGTACGATTGTTGGTATCGGTCTGGGTGTTTTCTATGTATATTATATAATATTAAAAAAATATATTTAAGTACTAGCGCGGTTTCACCAGCGTTAAATTTCTATAAAAAATATAGCCTATATGTTATTCTGAGGCATAAGCTATACTACTGTAAAGTTTCATCAAAATCCGTTCATTCTTTTTGCGTCAAAGAGTACAAACTTTCGTGATGTATCAGTTATATATGACCGATAATACAAGATTACCCATACAACTTTGCTTAGCTTGGGACTAGATGGCGCTGTGAGGATTTTTTTTTTGAGGGTTGATAATGGAATCGTGCACCCGCCTGCGCTAACGGTTTACGCTGGCGGGGCACCAATGGAGGATGATAAGATGAGCATGAGGTCAGGTCAGTTAGCCCATCGTGCAAATTCATCAGGAATTTAACACGATGGTTTCCAGGGGGAACCGCGTGGAGGTCGACCTGACATGGTACATTGCTAGCAATGGGGTTATCAATCCACATTACTAACAATCCCCTTCCCCCCCGCGCTGTTTGGATTATCGGGGGTTGTTATGGCATTATGACCCATAACTTGTGTAGACGCAGACCGGGCTGGAGGAGCTGGTGCCGCTGGCGCCGGCGGGCCCGGCCGCCACGCCCGTCTGCGTCAAGCAGGAACCTACGGAAGCTCCACCAGCTCTCACACTTGAAACCCTCGAGTCTGCCCCGCACGCAGCCACCACGGTAATTCTTCCTTATTTTTTTTGTTTACGGCTGACCGCCAACTTTACCAACTATTGTCAGGTGCTTGGACCTGTAGCTCTGCGACTTACATAGATCTATTGTGCTCGCCCTTTTTCAGAGTTCGCTACCTAGACCCGTTAGGGACAAGAATTGATGGATATTCTTAGAAGCTCAAGTGATATAATAGTGCTAATGCTATGTTTCAATAAGTGTGATATTTGAATATTGTCCTTCAGCTGATGAGCTGTTTTGTACCAGGGTTCAACATTGCTGGACCGACACATGACGATGCTCAGTTCAAATGAAGTGCCTGATTCTTCAGACTTCACGCCGCTTATGTCGGTCAAAGACGAGCCGCTGTCGGAGGGAGGTAAGAATCGATATAATATATTAAATTTGGTTGACGAGAAGAAACTCTGCTCTCGTTTCAAATGGGATGGTATACTAATCTGTCTGTTGGTATGTCTATTGGAAAAGCAGAAATTTTTGTCTGATATTTTTATCTCAAACTCCATTATGAATTGATGGTAGATTTGACCTCTGATAAGATCTGTATGTTTACATCAGTAGACGTAATAGGCCAAGTTTACACTTTATTGAGTTATTTTGATATAAAATGAATGAAGCTTTGTTAAAACTTGACTCAAAAATTACCAAAATTTTAAGTGAGTAATTTTTAATCATTGAGTATTGTAATGATAATTCGATGACAAAAACAAAACAAAATATGAGATGTTTCCACTTGTAGATAATTTTATTATGTAAGCCATTTGTCTTTCATTACTGATGCCCAATAATACTTTGTTAAGCTGTAATCAATTTAGGGGAGTGAAATTCGACGTGGGAGGTAGAAAGAGATTTGCTTAATACAACAATATAGCTCATACACGCATTATTATAAGAATACACTTCCTCACAGAACAACCACATTTAAGCGGCGAGGATACTAGCGATTCTTGCAGTACACAACCGGAGCCTTCGACGCGAAGCAGCCCCAAGAGCTGGACTCAACGAGACATGGACAATGCGCTCGAAGCGCTTAGAAAGCACAACATGAGTCTCACCAAGGTATAACATTTATAAATAATAATAATATACCTCTAGGATTCATATTTCAGATGGGGTAGTCAGATGCAGTATCAACTGTCGATGTTGTGGCGTATGCTACACTTAATATGCTCACATTTAACAGGCCTCGGTAGTAGTAGAATAGGTTCTATTCCTCGCATGTTACAAATATTTATATGTTCAAAAGTTTGGTTTTTTGTATTGGTCTGGGTATTTCCTATATACATCATGTACCTATGTATTTCTAAAAAAACGTATTTAAGTATTTCTCTCTACTGCTCAGTATCCATAACACAACCTCTGCTTGGCTTGAGATAGATGGTGTTGTGTGAATTGTCTTGATCTTATATATAAAATTCTCGTGTCACAGTTTTCGTTCCCATACTCGTCCGAAACGGCTTGACCGATTCTCATGAAATTTTGTGAGCGTATTGAGTAGGTCTGAGAATCGGCCAACATCTATTTTTCATCCCCCTAAATGTTAGGGGTAGTCCACCCCTTAATTTTTTTTTTATTTTAAGGCAAAACAACGTTTGCCGGGGCAGCTAGTTGTCATATAAATTTATCTAAAAAAATCCAACGATACTGGTGGTGAGAACCCACTCTGTATCTCGGATTAATTTGGATATTATCGGCCTTTCTATCACAAGACAATAACGGATAAAGGAATAACTTGACGCATGACTTATTTTTTCAAAGTTGGATCTTTGAAGTATGAATTTGCGTTGTGATCTGCTAGGACAACAGATGTAGACGACATAATTGTGGTCCTTTTACGGGTAACATTGACTTGGAACTGAATTGTCGTTCGATTCACAGGCCTCAGCGACGTACGGTATACCATCAACCACACTGTGGCAGCGAGCGCACCGCCTCGGCATTGACACGCCGAAGAAAGAAGGCGCTTCCAAATCTTGGAGCGAAGCCGACCTAAGAGGGGCGCTGCATGCTCTAAGAGCTGGTGCTATATCTGCGAACAAGGCTAGCAAGGCTTATGGTGAGTTTAGTTGGATATGTACAGCATACAAAAACTATATATATTCATATATGTGTTGAATAGTTTCCGCCACTTTTTCTAATGCTGTTGGTCGCAGTTAGCATTTACAGTTTCACCAAACGATAGGAGGGTGAGTGCAGATGGCATTTCTCACCTGCGGTAGGACTTACAGTGCGATTAAAGACCAACTCCTGGCTTACGAATACGATTTTAGTCTGAGAGATTGATAGGGGTTCGCAGGCAGTCGTAATTTGAATCTCCATTTGAATAGCACGTGGAATCGATCGGCTACTTAGGCAATATAGTAGTCGTAATTTTCCATAATCTCGTGGAAGCTGGAGCCCTCTAGCTCTCACACTTGAAACCTTCGAATCAGACCCACACGTAGCCACCACGCTAATGGTCCCAAATTAACTTATTGTTCATAATAAGTTAACTTCAGCTCTAATTTCTTTTTAAACTCAAAAGCGATTGGTAATTAAGCTAGTTGTGTGGTGGCTGCAATAAGAGGTAGCTAGAGCTAGATGTGTTGGTTGTCAGGTATTCCGAGCAGCACGCTGTACAAGATTGCGCGGCGCGAGGGCATCCGGCTGGCGGCGCCCTTCAACGCCGCGCCCACCGCCTGGAGACGAGCAGACTTGGAGCGCGCACTCGCCGCCATCCGCTGCGGCGCCAGCTCCGTGCAGCGCGCGGCCTCGCAGTACGGCATCCCCACCGGTGATTACCCCACTACCCCTACCACCTCTAGTGCGGCATACCCACCATTGACTACCCCACTACCCCTACCCCCGACCTCGAGCGTGACATCCTCACTGGTGATTACCTTACTGCCCCTACCGCCTCTCAAATGCGGCATCCTAACCATTGACTACCCCACTATCCCTACCGCTGACATGGAGCCCAGCATCCTCACCATTGACTACCCCACTATCCCTATCACCGACCTCAAGCGCGACATCCCCGACGGTGACGACCCCAGTACCGCTACCGCCGACCTCGAGCGCGACATCCCCACCGGTGACTACCCCAGTACCCCTACCACAGACCTCGAGCGCGACATCCCCACCGGTGACTACCCCAGTACCCCTACCGCCGACCTCAAGCGCGACTTTTCCACCAGTGACTATCCCACTATCCCTACCGCCGACCTCGAGCGCGACATCCCCACCGGTGACTACCCCACTACGCCTACGGCAGCAGGCATCTCTAACTCTAATATACACTTCTCGGTGACCTTAGTGTAGTGTACTGGTTTAGCACATTGCCTTACCGCCTTACAGCTCATGGGTCCTATTCCTCGCACGGTACAAAGATTTGTGTTCATCAGTATGATAGTTGTCCTATTTTGGCCTGATACAAACGTTTATATAGTGCAAAAATCGAATCCAGGACTGTAAGACGATGTTATAAACCACCGAATACAACAATGAGACCAGAGATACCAAAAATCCTTAAATGTAGACTCTTCACTATTATTTCTGAATTGCAGGCACATTATATGGAAGGTGTAAGAGAGAAGGCATCGAGCTGTCCCGCTCTAACCCCACACCCTGGTCCGAAGATGCTATGGGGGAAGCTCTTGAAGCTGTAAGGTGAGTTTGTCCCGATTGGTGACTTTATTTACTACTACATACAAATATAAATACCAAATACCTTAATTCTCACTTATAGGGGTATGAAAAATAAATAGTATCTAACCGATTCTCAGACCTACTGAATATGCATATAAAATTTCATAAAAATTGGTCAAACCGTTGGGAGGAGTACGGTAACTAACAAATTAACATTGTGACATGAGAATTTTATATATAAGACTAGCTGCTCGCCCCGGCTTCGCACGGGTGTACATGTATTATATATATATATATATATAAACTTTCCTCTAGAATCACTCTATCTATTTAAAAACAACCGCTTCAAAATCCGTTGCGTAGTTTTAAAGATTTAAGCATACATAGGGACGGACTGACAGCGATTTATTTTTACTATGCAATGATGACGAATCGAATAAATTACTTAAGTTACTATTAAGTTGAAATAGTTAAACTTGAATTACATTAGCGTTGAACTAACTAGCTTTAACAAGTTCTACCATGATGACTATCTAATTTAAACTTGTGAATTCAAATTCAAACTAATAATTATAACTTAACCAACTTGTGGCAAGTATGGTTAAGTTTTAGTTTAGTCTAAAATAAGAGTAGACTATGAACTTCTATTACTAGTTAGTTAAAATTAGCTGGATTTTTCGATAAACATTTAATTTTCAGGGAATCTCAAAATTGTTTATTCAAAATTTCATAATATTGGATTCATACCTACATATATTCATATCTAGGACCATTGGATTCTTAAACTTCACCTATCTTTTAGACAAATTATAGATTACTTATCCATATTCTGATTCACTTATACCATAGCAACACGCAAGTTAAAAAATATACCTGTATCAAGATTTCTTGCTCTTTCTTTTTATGAAACAGCTTTCCGATTGAGCGGTAGATTAAAAAAATAAGTAATGGCTATTCAAAAGTGCTTAAATGTAATTTTATTGAGTAAATAATTTTCTTTTCTATTCTATTCATAAGAATGCTAAAGATTAGTACTTAGTAAAGAATCTATTTTGAACTGTGATGCTGAAAACTTATTTTTTATTAGTTACTTTTGTCCAAGTATAACTTTAAAATCAATACAAAGCAATAAATTGTTTTGCTTTATTCATCTATGGTTTAAGAAGACTACTTTTACTTAATAAAGAAACTCAGTTTTTCTAATTTTAACTCTGATACTAAAAGCTTATTATGAATCAGTTATTTCTATACAAGTTGTTTACGCCTTTTAGTGTGAAGAGGATCTTGATGGTGTAATTAAACTCGGAGATTCCAGGCTAGCTTTTTAATTAATTGAAAATAGGTTTACAGTGGTTGCGTGTTATAATGCGTATATGATCGTTAGCGAATTTCGAATTTGAATGTCAACCGTCACAATTTTGTCTCTGGCCCGCTGAAACCTGACGATGCAGTGTTGCTGTATCAAAATACAATTTGGGCCACAAATTAGTGCAATCGCGCCTGAACATACCCCCGGCCTTGGAAGCACCAGCTTTCAACGTGAAAGTGCCTTATAATTGTAACTAGTCGTCGAGTAAGGGGCATGTCTAGCTGTAGCTCAATAGCGTTCCTTCTTCTTGGTCCTTGATTTGATGTCCTGGTATACCCTTCGTCGTCCTATGAGACCAGAAGTGTAGGCGAAACTACTAACTCTTCGACTCCTTCATAGCGCGTAAGTCGATGAGCAGGCACCTCTGTGAAGTCATGACTGACAGGCGCGGTAAGCGGACGGCCTGCCGGGAAATATCTGGGGCTGTTAGGAGTAAGGTTGTGCGGATCTAAGAATATAGGATTTAAAGGACAGGAAAACAAGGAGGTTCGATTGAAATAATACTGTGCTGAACACTTTCTAAAACGCGGTACAAAAATATTACAGCATGGAATTCTAAACTTCTATAAACCACCAAAATGAGGCGCATATGGTAGAATAAAAGTAAAATATAAATATAAAATAAAATTAATAATAAAATTTGGCTATTATTTGAAAGGATATTCGCATAGTTTGTGAAGCGTGTAAATAAATGTTTTAGGCTAGTAAATCTGTATTAGTAGATGAGTCACTGGCGAGTTCCAAGCGCATCACGCGTGTCTCTAAACTATTAAATGTGCATATGAAGTCTACCCTAGAACGCATAAAGGGAAAGTATGAAGTTATACGATTAGTAGATAAGTCACCCATAAGCGGGGCAAGAGTTCTGCTTTCCAAACGTTTACAAACAATGCAAGGCCACCATGTTTCTCCTAAATTGAAGAGAAACGCCTGTGGGTCTGCGTATAGCAAGAGTTTATAACGAAATAGCAATATAGAAAAAATATGTATAGATGAAATTAAAATTGAACGCTTCTTATCCGAAATGAAGTGAGATGAATTTACAAGTCGACCACCAACGCGAGTTAAATAATTCTTGACCTTAAATGAATTTAATTTGCAATAAATATGTTTATTATAATAAATAAGATAATTTTCAAACAACATGTACTTATTTGAAAATGATTCCATTTGAAATAAATTAACTAGCGATGTGTTTAATTCTCTCAACTTATCAACAATGAGAATATCCGACTGTCGATTTATTTTATGGTGTGTATTATGTATAAAGCATACTACATAAGCGATAGTTTGTCTTATACGATTGAGCTGAGAAAACCACACAAACGAAGACAACGTATATTCGTAGTATCGAGTTGCAAAAAAATCAGTCACTCCAGACTTAAACTTGAATGTTTGCGGCGCATCTGTAAAAATGTACAGTTGTATCTGTATAGCTTCGCTAGCTATAACAGATCGCGGTATACGAATGGTATTAAGCGCTGATAAACCATTTTCAACTAGGGTCGACGCGCGCAATACATCGCGCGGCACCTCATTCAACTGTAACACTAGTAACAAATAAGCAGTGTACCTATGTTGTCTTAAGCGGATTAGAATATTGACTAAATGACGATGCCTTAAACGTTTTTCTAATGCCAAAACATGATGTTTGGCTTGCGAATATGATTGACCTAAGGCAGACGACTGTTTCAGTGGTACGTGAAACCTTCCGTCATCATTGCGCGTAGTGGTAACAACGAAATGCTCCACGCACGCCCGTTCGTTGTCAGTCTGTGTGTCGGTAACCTTAGGCAACTCCTCTAACTGTGTATTAATTGTTTGTACAAAATTACATTGGATAGGTATTTTATTGTTGCGTATGTTAAGATCGATAGGACCCGAAACTATCCAACCTAACTTCGTGTTTTGTAAAAAGGGTCCATTTGACAACCTCATTTTACCTTCGCATAGTAAGTCCCAAAATAAATCCGCGCCTATTAAAATGTCAATATTTTGGGACTCATAATAATATGGATCCGCCAGCTGTATATTATCAGGTGTCCTTATAGACTGCGCGCCTTGATTATAAACAGCGGCGGGTAATGTCGAAGTAATGCAAGACAACACAAAACATTTAATACGTGCTGAGTATTTATTAATGCGTGATTTTAGCTCAACTTCGCATATCTGTGTTGACTTAGTAATTGTGTTTCCGACACCTCGAATTTCGCAAGTGGACTGTATTAAATTAATGTTAAGTAAATCGCATAATGATTTTGATATAAAACAATACTGGCTACCGCAGTCGAGAAGCGCGCGTGCTATATGAATATTATTATATTTATCAACTATCTCGACCATTGCAGTAGACAGTAAAACCGGTTGCATGCACATAGATTGATTGTTGTGATCATTACTATTGCCTATGTGTGCACTGTTTACCTGTGAGTAACTCATTTGCATGGGGATGGAATCCGCGGGCGGTGGAAAGGTCGCGGGGGACGCGTGCGCAGCGCCCGGGTTCGAGACAGCGGTGTCGACTGAATGCATTGATATAACTTGCGTATGGTCAGTTGCATCGTTATGAATTAGCGTGTTATGTTTTTTAGTGCATTTTCGACACGGCCCGAACCTACATACATCTACCGAATGCCCTAAACGTAGACAGTTCTCACACAGTTTATTTGCGGATATAAATTGCAGTTTAGTATCTAAGTCAGTGTCTAAAAACCGTTGACATGAATACAAGGGATGATCGGCGTTACTCATTAGACATAATTTTTTAGTGAAAGTGATTTGATGTTGTGGCTTATTGGTGGAAACATTGCAGTGAATTTTGTGTTGTGACGTTTTATGTGTCGCATTATGTGACACATTGTGTGACACACTATGCGACACAGCGCTTTGTTTATTAGAGTTAATGTTAGGATTGTGTGATACTCGCAATGTTTCCAACATGTCGGCCCTGTCCCTTATGAACATAAGAAGATCATCTACCTTCAGTGGTGATTTATTGTCAGAAATATGCTTTCGCGTAGTACATTTATATTGTTCCCACTCGCGTTCGGTGGTTTCATCTAACTTAGACGTAATAATGAAAATAATTAAAGTGTCCCAGTACTCAGTTGATTCACCTAATATTTTTAAAGCGCGTAAATTTCTTAATATCGTATCGGAGAGGGTTCTTAGCGAATGTGGTGACTCTTTAGTGAGTTTTGATATCGTAAATAACGCCTTAACGTGATTATGAACTAACAGACTGCTATTGTTGTATCTGTTGAGAAGCAGTTCCCATGCCACCGCGTAATTACTGGCTGAGAATTCCACGGAATCGATAACTAACTCCGCGCTTCCCTTCAATGACGATTTTAGGTAGTGGAATTTCTGGATATCACTGAGTTCATCAGAATTATGAACTAACGATAGGAAGCTGTCCCTGTACTCGATCCACGAATCGTACATGCCGTTGTATGTGGGTAGTGAAATAACCGGAAGGGATATTGATTTAGAGACCCTAGTGCTACACTTATTTGAACTGGCAGTGACCTCCACAGACTTAAGCATATACTCCGCGCGTGATAGTGCATTATAATAGCAATCCTCAAACAAATCGCGTTGTGTTAATTGCGTATCCAAATCACAGTCGCGTACAGTTTTTTCGATTTTTGTTTGAATCTCACTAAACTCTGCATACAAATTAGTAACACTTTGTATGCGTAACCTTAAATCGATACATTTTTGACTAGATAATTGCTCCTTAGTGAGATCATGAATAGCATTTGAAAATCTAGTTACCCTGCTTTTTATAATGCCACGCATTTTAATTAAATCCTTAAGATAGTCATTGTCGCTTTCTTTATTTGCTATAAGCCTATTAGGAGATCTTTCACGACTGATTTTGCCTGTACTAATAGCCTCGTCTACGCTCATTTTGGTGATTTATAAAAGTACTCACGATTGATTCTTGGATTGTGAAGTCAGCAGCACTAGCTGAGGCACAAGCTGGCTTCGATGCCAAACACAAGCACTGTAACGTAAATGAAGGCACAGTATTACACAATGAAGCGAAAGGGATGGGGTTAGGGAGGATGGCAGACCGTACCGAAATGCGCGTAGTGATGATGTAGGTGGTCATCTGCTGCTACTCCTCCGTCGTCTTAACCTCGATCCTGTTGTAGGTAGTTCCTCTTCGCACGTCTCGTAGTCCAAATTCCTTGCGATGAATCGGCTTACGAAGAATCCGTTGGTCGCTGTTTCGTATTTTGCGTATATTATGCGGCGTCGAAGGTCCACAACGTATGTTTACGCCTTTTAGTGTGAAGAGGATCTTGATGGTGTAATTAAACTCGGAGATTCCAGGCTAGCTTTTTAATTAATTGAAAATAGGTTTACAGTGGTTGCGTGTTATAATGCGTATATGATCGTTAGCGAATTTCGAATTTGAATGTCAACCGTCACAATTTTGTCTCTGGCCCGCTGAAACCTGACGATGCAGTGTTGCTGTATCAAAATACAATTTGGGCCACAAATTAGTGCAATCGCGCCTGAACACAAGTTTAAATTTAAAATCAATATATGTATATCAATAAATTGTGTTGCTTTATTCATGTATGGTTTAAGAAGACTACTTTTACTTAATAAAGAAACTTAGTTTATCTAATTTTAACTCTGATATTAAAAGCTTTATGAATCAGTTATTTCCATAAAAGTTTAAATTTAAAATCAATATATGTACATCAATAAGTACTGTTGCTTTATACATGTATGGTCGACACATACGATTCACAATTGGCGTGATTTGTAATCAAATTGAACTTCAAACTCGTTCATGTAGGTCATAGGTCTATTACGGGCACTTATAGTGTATTGTACTTATGATGTCAAGTACCGTCGGTTCTTTATATAGGTTCAGTCAAGGAGAACTAACAAATGAAATTTTAAAATAACGCAGTTAAAACCACAATGTTTTAGTTGAGTGTCTTGCCAGTTCTTCTTGACTGAAGTAGCTGGTTGGTTGATAAAAAACCTTTTTTTATTTTTATAATATATTAAAAAAATAGAATAATATATTAAAACAATTTATCACCTATGCTTATCACCTTTACCTATTCTGATTTTGACTTTAACATTTATAAATACTTAACTTTACAGTGATCACCGGAATTCTATTTTTATATGTTTAAAAATTTTGGATTTTTTTAATGGATGATAAAGATGCGGGTAACCATTCCACCCGTCTGCGCTAACGGTATACGCAGGCGGGGCACCAGTAGAAGACGATAAGATGAGGAGGTCAGATCAGTTAGCCCATTGTGATGAAATCTCTTGGTTTCCAGGGAGAACCGCGAAAAATCGATTGCTAGCAATAGGGTCCTAGTCCTTATGACTACAGATAACATAGTTTTTTAAGGATGATAATGGAACGGTGCACCCGCCTTCGCTAACGGTATACGCTGGCGGGGCACCAGTAGAAGACGATAAGATGAGGAGGTCAGGTCAGTTAGCCCATCGTGACAAATTCACTAAGAATTTATCACAATGGTTTCCAGGAAAACCGCGTGGAGGTCAACCTGACACAACCTGTAAAGGTTAAATCCACATTACTAACAATCCCCTTTTCATTCACAGATAACATAGTAGTACACTATTGCTATCAAGTAATAAATACTTGATAGCAATAGGGTCCTAACCTATTGCTACTCTTCTCTCTCCTGGCTTACATTTCATCTCCTTATACTTGGACGTCTCAATAACAATATTATTTATTTGAAAAATACAAATTGTAAGATATTAGGGGAATGTACCATGTCACGTTATCCTTCACGAGGTTCCTCCTGGAAATGATTGTGATAATTTCCTGGAGAATTTGTCACGATGGGCCAACTGACTTGACCTCATGCACATCTTATACTCCCCTGGGGTCCGGCCAGCTTAAATCGTTAGCGAAGGAAGAAAGAAGAAATCACACATATGTGTGATAATAACAATAAAAAGTCATTGTAACAACCCCTTCTTTACTTACTCAAACTTAAATTATCTCATTTTACTTCAACGTCACAATAACAGTATTAAATATTGTGTTGAGGGCTTTTTTTTAATGATGATAATGGAATGGTGCCCCCATCTGCGCTAACGGTTTACATTGGAGGGGCAACAGTGGAGAATGATAAGATGAGCATGAGGTCAGGTCAGTTAGCCCATCGTGACAAATTCACCAGGAATTTAACACGATGGTTTCCAGGGGGAACCGCGTGGAGGTCAACCTGACATGGTTCATTGTTGGCAATGTTGTTTGGCGGAATGTACCATGTTAACCTTCACGCGGCTCCTCGTGGAAACCATTGTGATAAATTCCTGGTAAATTTGTGAAAGATGAACATGAGGTCAGGTTTTTTTGTGGATGATAATGGTATGGTGCACTCGCCTGCGCTAACGGTTTACACTGGAGGGGCAACAGTAGAGGATGATAAGATGAGCATGAGGTCAGGTCAGTTAGCCCATCGTGACAAATTCACCAGGAATTTAACACGATGGTTTCCAGGGGGTACCGCGTGGAGGTCAATCTGACATGTAACATTGCTAGCAATGGGGTTATTACTGAGGGAACTAGTATTAAAATGGGTGTTCCTCAGGGCTCTATTTTAGGTCCTTTCTTATTTTTAGTTTACATAAATGATCTTCCTTATATGGTAGAAAAGATAGCTGACATAGTTCTGTTTGCTGATGATTCTTCATTAGTATTCAAAGTCAATCGACATATTGATGATTTGGACCAAGTAAACGGTGCTCTTTCTTATGTTTTAAAATGGTTTACAGCTAATAATATGTTACTAAATGCAAATAAAACTAAATGTATCAAATTTACTCTCCCCAATGTAAGGCCGGTAGATTCAAAAATCACGTTGGACAATAAACCTATTAATTTTGTGGATGATACTGTATTTCTAGGTATCACATTAGATTCCAAGTTGCAATGGGGTGCTCATATTACTAAATTAGCGAGTCGACTTAGTTCTGCCGCTTATGCGGTAAGAAGAATTAGACAATTAACAGACGTGGCAACGGCTAAACTTGTGTACTTTAGCTATTTCCATAGCATTATGTCGTATGGTATTTTGTTATGGGGCAAAGCAGCTGATATAAATACAATATTTATTTTACAAAAGAGGGCCATTCGCTCCATTTATAGCATGGGTTCCAGGGAGTCTTTGCGAGAGTGCTTTAAGGAATCAAATATCCTCACCGTTGCTTCTCAATATATTTATGAAAATATCATGTATGCCAGGAAGAATATAGACAGTTTCAAAAGAGTTAGTGATTGCACTAATAAAAGCTTACCTAACAATAACAAACTGATTTTACCTAAATGTCGTTTGGCTAAAGTTAGTAATTCGTTTTATGGCAATTGCGTAAGGTTTTACAATAAAATACCAGAGTCTGTTATAAATCTGCCAGAAAAAAGATTTAAATGTCAAATAAAACACTTCCTTTGCAAAAAAGCTTACTATAAAATTGAAGAATTCGTTAACGATAATAATGTTTTTGTAGAAAAATTTTAAATACATAACACTATTATCTGATTACACTAATAATGAGTGCGTAGCGATTTCTATGTTGATTGTCGCATGCCGCTTACTTGTTACACTGTAATTATTTATATAAAAAAAAACATCTATTAAAAAGAGCAACACACAAGTTTCTTGCTCATTCTTCTTGTGATGAATCTGCATTCCGAATGAGTGGTAGAATCAAAATATGACTATTCAAAAGTGCTTGTAATGAGTTTATTTGAATAAAGATTATTTCTATTAATCCACATTACTAACAATCCTTTCCCCCCCCCCCCCCCCCCACGTGAGGTCAGGTCAGTTGGCCCATCCAACTGACCTGACCTTATATTCATCTTATTCTCCAATAGTACCCCGCCAGGGTAAACCGATAGCGCAGGATAATGCACCATTCCATTATCAACCAAAAATAAAAAAAAATTGTGATGTGTGTACAGGATAGGTCAGATGTCGATAAACCAGGCAGCCATACACTACAACCTACCCTACTCATCATTGTACGGGAGGTTCAAACGCTGCAAATACCAAACGCAGGTAAGTAATTAATTGAAAACCTACAAAAGTGTCTAAGTTAATTTTAGTTGTATTTATTTACTAAACTACCTACTCGCCGCGGCTTCGCACGGGTGTACATGTATTATATAAATTAACCTTCCTCTAGAATCACTCTATCTATTGAAAGAAACAGCTTCAAAATTCGTTGCGTAGTTTTAAAGATTTAAGCATACATAGGGACGCACAGACAGCGACAGCGACTTTATTTTATACTATGTAATGATAATGATTAATACAATATACAGTTACAGCTAATTGCTGATACGTTTTTATCTTAAAACTGTTATACTTAACTATAAAGGGAGGTACTTTTGACATCTTAGCACACTTTACTTCCGATGGTCGCGGGTTCGATTCCTCGCATGGTGCAAAGATTTGTATTCATGAGTATGATTGTTTGTATTGGTGTGTCTGTTTATATGTATCTGTAAAAAAAATATTTAAGTATTTATATCAGTTGTCTGGTACCCATAACACAAGTTCTGCTTACCGTGGGACTAGATGGCGTTGTGTTAATTGTCCAGGGTTATTTATTTAGGATGATTTATATATATATTTATTAAGTAACAAAAAATTATTACAGGGTCTGCAACCACTCCAGCAGCAGGAGATCCAGAAGAATATAGAAATGGAGCACCTGCCTCAGGAACAACCTTACTACCATCAGGTACCTCATGGAAGTCATCAACTGCCCGACAGTCATACACACTCACAATACATACACAATTTAAATATGAGTATGCATGAACAAACGGACACCGCGGTGCCAGGGTCTCTGATGCATGATCCATACAGCCAAGCGATGTACTACGCACACAGCTGTAATAGCATGGTCTCCAGTTGAGGGTACAGCGCCTCTACTAGTGAGGCCCCTTGACATTTTGCATTTTAATCTGTGCCGGTATTGTTTTTCGAACTATTCTAATGCTGTTTGCTCGAGTTTTGGCGAGTGCAGAGTGCACTACAAAATCGCGGAGGGACTTATGGGAGCGGTTGAAGGCCAATTCCCGCTAGACGGATACGAGTTTAGCCTGGGGTTCGAATTTCTGCTCAGGCTGTCGTAATTTCGATCCCCGTTTGAATTGAATGGGGGATCGATCGGACGTTTTGTTTTAAGACACATTTCTTTTTGTACTTTAAAAAGTAAGATACTGCCTTTATTAATATAGTTAATTTGGTTTTAATATGAATAATATTAAATTGTGGTAAAAGATTTATTTACTTTAATTAAGAACGAATTAACTATATTAATAATATGTATTAAATGCAAAAATATAAAATAACTAAGATGTTGTCTATAGTTGACAAGGCTGTGTGGCGCTGTTCCTTTGCCTTTACTGTTGTAGATAATAATAAGTATCAAATCATTTTTGTTTTCAAGTTTTACATAAAATTTGTAATCGTTTAAGTTATATTTAATTACAGTGATATAATTAAATTAAAATATCGGTATCAATAATATTGTACCATTATTTTAAAATTTTTGTTAATATATTTACAATCATTATTACCTGTGTGCTAACAATATTTAATGTACTTAATTTTAAGGGTAATAAATTGAGTTGATTATTATTCTTAAATAGTTATCAGATGTTTAAAGCATAAGTATGCATTTCATAGACAAAACATTTCTCTTTTATTATTAATATTTTTTTAATGAATAATGAAAAATTGGAATTACCTGTCTACAGGTTGTTCGTTGTAACATCGAAAAACATTACTCTGTGAGAATTTAATCGAAAGCAATAATGCCATTTAAAACTAGTTTCTAATGGCAGAGCTTGATGGTTGTTAATGTATTTTAATGGTTAGTGATTCATTTAAAATGTGTCTATTCATTTCTTTGTTGAAATGTTTGTGTTTTGTAGTGAACTGCTAGATTTGTATAGAAGAAACTGCCATTACTGACGAAAATACGTAATTAGCTAAGGTAGACTGTAGGTATTAAGTGTAAGTTATATAAATAGAAAGTTATTCCTTCCATGCCATAATTTGTTGAGGCAAATTGAAGTGACACCGCGCAGCTAGCGCCGCCCATGAACGGAGTTGCCATTTTTCGTGACTTTTATTATGTAGTAACAAATATTTTTTAATATAGTAACAATCTGTCCAAACGACATACGTAATTGTAATGTGATAGTTTATAGATATAAGTTAATCTCATACTCGTGTAATTGTTTTATTTAAAACTATATTTTTTACATTTAGCGTCATCTAGCGGTAAGTTGCTAAACTACATAGATGTCGTTGTTTTAAGAAGTTCGTCATATAATGTAAAGATGGCACTGTATGTACAAATATTTTTATATTTTTAACTTGTTTACATGTGTTTTGTTATGATTACCACGAGATAATGTTCAAACTAGCAATAACTAGTTTTTATATTACTATTAGTGCTTTTAGTCTTCTAAATAAACCTTATAGACTGAATTTGTTGCTTTTATTTAAACACCTGTTTCTGAAAATTATAAACAGTGATTTTATAAGCTTTATGTTTATTTTAATTCTATATTTATTTGGCATTTTACCCTACATTCGTATCAGGCGAGTTTCATTTTTGACAGACAATTTGTACTAGGCGGTCATAACCGTAGTGGTGTTAACGCACTTCTTTACAAATACCCTCTTCTGTCTATAAAAATGGTATGATGCACGCCAGGTGTTGACCAATCAGGTTACGGTCCGAGTTGTCCGGTCGGGTTATGGAATTTATGCACAATTTCGTAGTATGGATCATAGAAGACTTATAATACAAAATTTTGTTCCATTGTTATCTTTGCGTCTCGTATTGGCTTAAATATGAACAAAATATTGTAAAATAAATCAAGGTACCAGGCTAACAGAAACCTTAGGAGGTTGCTGTTGAAAGGTCAATTACTACATATTGTTATTAACTTCTGCGTTCCTATTATTTTCTAAATTTTAGTTTGAAAAATTAGCACCGCGCGTTGCGGCGTCAGTTCGCTTTAGAGAAGAAATATTGTAAATATAACGGTACCAGGCAAACAGAATGCTTAGAAGGTTGTGATTGTTGTTGAAGAGTCAATTACTAAATGCTGTTGTTAACTTCTGCGATTCCATTATTCACTTGATACTTTGATTTTAGTTGTGGCAGGTCAGAAAAACTTTTCTAAAAATAACAATACATCGTCAGGTGACTTATTTAATGATCTGTCAGTCTTATTAATTATTCATAAGACTGATAGATCATTAATAATAATATTTCATGTCGGAAATTCAAAATTTTCTAAAGTTTGATTGCACTCACAAATATAATGTACTTTTAAAACAACACCCAAAAAGGCTATCTCTATGCTAATTTTAATGTAGTCAAAACATTTGTTTTGTTGCATGATTGAGGCAATGTCAGTTAAATGTAACTAGCTGATCCACGCAATTTCGTCTGTAGGACACTTGACATTTCTCATTATATTTCGCCAAATTTACATGCTATCTTTTCAAATTAAAGCCTATTTGTTATTTTGATGTATAACATATTTTACTGTTCAGTAGTTTTTGCATGCGAGTAACAAACATACATCCACCTATACATCTGTACTCATAAACTTTCTCGTTCATATTATTAGTAAGATTATTAAATTAAAAAAAAGGATGTTAATTATATATGGAATAATTAAAAAAAAGTAAAGATTGTACATAAAAAAGTCGCTTTATTATTATATTTCTTATCTACAGCTAGATATAAAATAAATTACATAGTTTGATGCGATCGGCTGTGGCGCCGCGGACACATTTACAATATCTTCTCGTTTATAAATAAAATATATGGTACAAAATTACATAATTGCACGTGGCGGTCTAGCTTCGACATTAAACATTCTATTTGAGCGATTTTTTCATTTGTTTTCAGTTTCAATCGGGATATTTATCTTATATAATGAGATTATTAACAATGGTCGCTTACATTACGTTATATATTGTACGTTGAGATCCCTATATTACAACTATAGAAGTAGTGTATGCTGTCCATACATCTAAATGCAAACATCAGTGGATTTGTGGATTCATAGATACAAGATGTCTTCATAATTTTCGTTAAACTTTATATTTATGGTAACAATACATATCAGTAAATTGTTAAGTTGATTAGCACGAGTTTTTATATCAATTTAACATTTCACTGGTTTGTAGGTGCTTTGGTTCGGGTCATAAATCCATCCAGATTCCTCGCATTTAAATGAATTTATGCGAAACGTAACGTTCTACTACTCGCCGGCAGATGGCGGTTTACAATTCCATGCCTCTATCACATGGTCGTACTAGTCTACACGTCGTTGAATAGGACATCCGCCTATACACATTTGGTACTAAATATAGCTATTTACAATTTTTTTTCGCTTACAATGTAATTTGTAAAGTAGTGAGTTGCGATTATGTATAATTATTTTACAAATTTCAAACCTCTTTCACTGAGTAATGAAAAGTTTCGTCAAATTACACTCGGTTAGAACTCAACAAATAAACCGAGTTTTTATTACGGACAATACAGTACATAAAAAAATGTTGAGTAAACGCAAAATCGGTGTACACAGTGATTACATGTTTAACGACTGCTCGTTTATCTTTAGTATCGACGCGCATTAGTAAATCCCTTTATTTTAACACTATAATATGTTACATTTCACCGTACGTGGAAAACGTTAATTATAAAGTATTTTACTAATTCGCGTGTCGCGAAATCGACGTCTACACGCGAACTGCACTTATACACCGTCCGTGTACGAGTATCGCCGCACTACACTAGTATACGAGGGGTCATCGGGCTCCTCACTTACACACTATTACGTATATATTACGTGCACGTCGCGGCACGCGCGGGACTAGACAACCGCGTCACGCTCGTCACGTCTCGGTACGTCACGTCACGTCACGTCACGTCACGAGAGTCCGCGGGCGGGCACGGTAATGGCACTGACACACGGGGCCGCCGGCGCCTACACGGGCCCGTAGTCGGAGAGCGGCTGGGCGGAGCGCGCGGAGGGCGCGGCGGGGGGCGGCGGGGGCGGGTGCGGGGGCTGCGCGGGGGGCGGGGGCTGCGCGGGGGGCGCGCGCGGCCCGGGCGCGCGTCACACGGCGCCCTTGACGAGCGCGCGGTGGTGCGGGCCCCGGCCGCCGCGCCACACGCGCCGCCACGAGTCCAGCGTCTTCCCGGACCAGATCCACACGCCCGACGTGATGCCCACCGCCAGCGCCATGAAGTACTTGAGCATGAGCGCGGAGTAGAGCGGGCGGGAGCCGCAGCCCGCGCCGCACGCCACGCGCCGCAGCCAGCGCTCGTGGCCGCCCGCCTCGTACGCCAGGCAGCCGATCACCACGCCCGCCGGCACCGCGTACAGCACGCTGAACACGCCGATCCGGATCATCAGCTTCTCCAGCTTGTCCGCCTTCGAGCCCGCGCCGATGCCGCCCTGCCGCTTGATCACCGAGCGGATGCGGAACAGCGACACGAACCCGGCGAGCAGGAACGTGGCGCCCAGCGCGAAGTACACCACCAGCGGCGCGAGCACGTACCGCCGCAGGTTCTCGGGCGAGGTGTTTCCGACGTAGCAGATGCCGGCCACCGGGTCGCCGTCGACGGCGCCGGCCAGCAGCACGGCGACCGTCTTCGCGGCGGGGATCAGCCACGCGGCCAGGTGGTAGTACTGGGCGTGGCCCGCGATCGCCTCGTTGCCCCACTTGAGCCCCGCGGCCAGGAACCACGCGAACGACAGCACCACCCACCAGATCGACGAGGCCATGCCGAAGAAGTAGACCAGGACGAAGACGAGCGTGCAGGCGCCGGGCCCGTCGGCGGAGGTCTTCAGCGCGGGCCCGTCACAGGCGACCTCCTCGTGGCCGATCGCGAGCCGCGTCAGGTAGCCGACTGCGACCATGAAGTAGCAGGCCGAGAGGTACACTATGGGCCGCTCCGGGTACTTGAAGCGCTGCGAGTCGATCAGGAAGGTGGTGAGCGTCATGAGCGTGGAGGCCGCGCACAGGCCGCTCCAGAGCGCGACCCACACGGCCGCGAACTCCTTCTCCTCGCGCGTGAAGAAGGCCCCGCGGCAGGGCAGCGCGCAGGCGGCCAGCCCGATGGCGGCGGCGCTGGAGTTGGCGGTGGCCGGCACCAGCGGCAGGCGGCAGGTGCAGGCGCAGTCGTCGGCGGCGGCCGCGCCCGCGCCGGCAGCCTGGCCGCTCTCGCAGTTTTTTGGGTCCTTGCAGAGGTTCTTGTGGGTCTTGCGGGGCGGCGGGCGCGGCGGCTCGGGCTCCGGCTCGCGATTGTTGTCGTCCATGCACAGGTTCTCGGGGTCCCCGAAGCGCGGCAGCTTCTCGCAGGCCATGCGCTCGGGCCACTGGAAGCCGTACTTCTGCATGAGCGGCGCGCAGCCCGAGCGCGCGCGCTCGCACACGCTGCGGCACGCCGGCAGCGGCTTCGCGTAGTCCTCCAGGCAGATCGGCGTGTACACCGAGCACAGGAAGAACTTCAGGTCGGCGGAGCATTTTATTTCGACGAGGGGCCAGTACTGGTGGACCTGAAATTTAATTATAACATATATTAGTTTTTTATCCGCGAGATCGGAAAATTGTGGACAAATCGAAATACCACCCAATATATCGGAATTAATTATATACTAACTGTTACTGTTGATTACTGTTGCTGTTGGTATATTATTATTTTATTTATTAAAATAAATAAAATTTCTAACTGTCACTTCTTATAACATTAACTATCAGCGAGTAAGTCTCTTTAAAATCGGTCCAGCAGTTTCAGAGATTAGCATGTCCAAACAGACAGACAGATATATATGTATCATGAAAATACTTTTATATGCATATAATATGTATAATCATTACAAATATTTAGTAATTGCTTATATGTATACATATATCTCTATATATAGAACTCAAAGGTGACTGACATAGTGATCTATCAACGCACAGCCCAAACTTCTGGACGGATCGAGCTGAAATTTGGCATGTAGGTAGATGTTATGACGTAGGCTTCCGCTAAGAAAGGATTTTGATTAATTCTACCCCCAAGGGGATAAACTAGGGGCTGAAAATTTGTATGAAACTTTGTTAATTTTAAACTGATCGGGCTGAGACTTTGCATGCATAAGGCTACTATGACGTAGTCAACCCCTATGAAAGCATTTTGAAAAATTCCACCCCTAAGCGGATAAATTAACGCGAGCGAAGCCGCGGGCAAAAGCTAGTCAGCTATAAATGTTTTAATTTTTTCTTTCTTTCCTAGTCGTGAGCATGTGGCCATTAGTGTACAAAAATAAAAGATTGATATGTTACCTCTAGGCCGGCTTCGTCTTGGGTGTCATGGTCGAGCGCGTTGGGGAACGAGGTGAGGTTGTACCCGATGCCCCGGCACATGGGGATGACGATCTCTTCGCAGCGCGGCTGGTGCAGCGCGAGCGTCGCCTGCGCTCGCGCCAGCATCAGCGTCGCCAGCGCGACCACGCCGCGCCACCCACACATGCTCATGTGGACTACACTACCGGCATCTGCAAAGGAGCATACATACACATAAATATCATTCATTTAATTAACTTAATTAATTTAAATAATAAATCTATTGTTCAAAATCTACCCTGTAACATCGTAAGCACAGATTATTATATTAGAGTCCGTTAGTTTTCTGTTCCCGCGCCTTTGCCTCCCCTCCCTTACCTAGTACTGAACCGACTGTACGGCGGCCATGACGCGCGCGCATTGTGTTGTGAATTAAAATAAATTAGAACTGTGAAACCTACTGTGAACCTACTGTGAAACTGGACAGCTAGCGAAGATATCTTCGAGACCCTGAAGCCCAAGAAATCCGCAGAACCATACAGGTACGTGACTGACGCTTCCACTCATTTTTCACTATATATATACATAGTAAATTCCCTAACATTTTGGTAGCAGAGTAGTTTCCCTAACATCTATATATGTACTAGCTATTACCTCGGTTTCATCCGCATGAAATTTATGACCATATAATATAAATATGTTATTCTGATGTACAAGCTATATTACTATAAAGTTTCATCAAAATCAGTTCAGTAGTTTTTGCGTAAAAGAGTAGTAGTTGTTGCGTAGTAGAGTAGAGTAAACCATATTCACAATACTTCGCGTTTATCTATACATATATATAAAATTGGAGTGTCTGTTTGTAATATTGAAATAACCGTTTTTACTACATGCATATGAATATAAATACAGTACATACATCAAAATAACATTTTTTACAATTTATCTCTGTCTGTTTGTTCCGGTTAATCTCTGAAATGGCGTGACCGATTTTGACGGGACTTTTATTGGCAGGTAGCTGATGTAATAAGGAGTAACTTAGACTACTTTTACCTTAGAAAATTCTTTTATTTAAAAAAAAAAACAAGTCAATCAGAAAGACATTTCAAATCAGTTATTACATCAGGAGAAAGTATTATAAATAGGGTATCCCTATCCATTATCAGTGCGTTATCAGTAGGCCAATAGTAATAAAACACGAACAGTAGCGAACTCCCGTATATACATATATGTAATTCTTAACAGTAATTATTTGATAATCGCGCCGTACTGATAACACTTATCACCGTCCAGATTGTAACCCGAGATACGTAATCGTATACTTTGTTCGCCGATATATTTTGTTTGCAGGATTTGCAATATTTTGTAAATCAATTCGACTTATTAATTGAAAATATGATTCTTTTTTCCATCGAAGTTTATTATAAAAACTACAATCAGAAAAGAATCTATTTTTAATAATATTATAAACGTGAAAGTTTGTGAGTATGGATGAATGTTTGTTACTCTTTCACGCAAAAACTACTGAACGGATTTTGTTGTAACTTTACAGGAATATAGCTTATACATCAGAATAATATAGGCTATAAATTTCATACGGATAAAACCGCGAACACAGCTAGTAGAAAGATAATTGAAAACAGTTTATTCAAATAAACTTAATTTAAGCGCTTTTGAATAGTCAGTTATTCTTCTTTTAATCTACCGCTCATTCAGAAAGCTGTCTCAACACAAGAAGAATGAGCAAGAAACATGAGTGTTGCTTGTTGTACTGTTGTCGAAACGTGTGAAATACCAACTATCACTAATTTATTAGGGTCAAATATTAAATACACAATTAGCTTAAATTAGTCGTAGTGATTAGAGCAGACCAGTCCCTACAAACAGCACTCGTTCACGAGTATGACGTAGCCAGCCACCAATTCTCTAAATTATACAAAGTCTAAGCTATTTTCATTGACGTAATAATTGTTAAACCAAGCATCGTAACGAGATCCTAAACAAGCATTTATATTTAAAATTGACAGGGTGTTTAACTGTGCCTAATTAAAAGTCAATAACAGTTGAAATAAATACGAGTACACTGTTTTTCCGGACGCTCAGTCCGTTGGAATAGATTTAGTTTTAGTTAAATGCTTTTATTTATTTCTAGCGGAACATGTGCCCGGTGAATAGACTTTGTACATTGTAGACTGGACGCAGTTTCATTATTAAATGCCTAACGTGCAATCGCTTCTTAGAATGCAGGCGAGATTTTTATGGGCCATTCAATTTTATTAACTAGTTTGCATAGTTACTTCAACTATACAGTACCTATTTATTGTGACTATAAAAACGTCTATGAGTTGTGCTACAGAATGATGTATAGGTTTACTTAAAAACTATTTGCTTGGTACGGGATACGAATTTTTTTAGTTTGCGTTCGGGCGCTCCGCACTGTGTTCCTTTCGATCCCCTGTCCAATTGAAACGGGGATATTATCACAGCCTGAGTCGAGATTCGAACCCCTAGCGGTGCCCATAGATTAAACTCGTATCCGTCAGGCTGGAGTTGGCCTTCGAGTTTTTGAAATGAGGTAATGAAATGAGGTTGGCCGTACCAAATCCTTACAGTTTCTGCGGACGAAAAATGGCAGCGATTGCAACTCCAATTAAGAGGACGAACTTGCATGACGGATTCGTCTTTGGCCTGAGGGTATATACAGCTGGGGTTAGAACCTAGGCCCAAACCGTCGTAATTTCCAAACCCAAAACCCTTGAAAAACTTGAACCCTTGAGAAAAAATTGAAATAATTACGAGTCTGTACCTCATATTTTCTTCTCCTTTCTATTATCCCGAGGCCCGTTGAAACGCGAGGTAGTATATTATACTGATAATGAGATCAAATAAAAACAATCAATATCTGATTACTACCATCCGTTTGCATCAATGCTAACCTTTACAAATGATAAAGTACCCAAAGAAAATATGTTTATTTGATAACGTGCACATTCCAAACAAACGTAATCTGACAATTATTCGCTGTAAATATACAGATAACTACTGAGCTGGCCAAGTGACAATCACTATTTGATAGCTGTTAGCCACACTCTGCGGGCATGTAAAGTCGTCTTGTTTGGTTTACTTATTGGACCCTAACCTTAATTTAATGTATTTTTTTTACAACACAGGTGACAAACGAGCATGCGATTCTCCTGATGGTAAGTGATTACCGCTGCCCATGGGCACCCGCATCACCAGAGGAATTGCAAGTACGTTGTCGGTCTTTTAAAAAGGAATAAGCTCCTTTCTTGAAGGTTTCAATATCGTGTCGGTTCGGAAATTTATGGAAGCTTTACACTTTAGAGTTCTTCCACGGGTGACAAATGATATTTTAATTAACTTTTAACTTTCAATTATTTGACATATCACACGCAAGTCTCTTGCTCGTTCTTGATGATGACTCTTTCCGAATGATCGTATTAGAATCTGATATGACTATTTAAAAGTGTTTATATAGAGTTTATTTGAATAAAGTTACAAATTACCTCATTTAAATAAACTTAATATAAGCACTTTTGAATAAAATATGATTTTTAGAATAAGATTATTGACTTATTAAGTCATGTTCTTAAATACTTAGAATCTAATACGACTATTTAAAAGTACATATATTAAGTTTATTTGATTAAAGATCATTTCAATATCAAGAATAGGATGTTGTCGTCACATCTGCGCGTTGTCTAGTCTATGGCCACCGCGGCCGGCCGTGTGCTGTTGACCGTCGCAAGAGTCGCTGTACGTCGACAGTTAATGTGCTTTTAACGACACAAGATATCGACACGTGTCTCTAACAGACATCCTACGGATTCGGTAACAGTTAAATTTAACGTTAGCACGATAGTTGTGTGGTTAACTGCATGCTCACGCTTGATTACATTGTAACCTGAAATGGTGTTTGGCTACACCTAATGGGTGCATTAGGATTAATTTGGAATCACGTTCCGTTTCACGCATCTATTTAATTAACGAGAAACAATGGCATCGTTCTTGAACTACCGCGTGGCGGCTTAAAAATTTTAATCTTTATGATATTTTAAATGCGAAAGTTTGTGAGAATGTTTGTTACACTTTCACGTAAAAACTACTTGACGGATTTTTATGAAAATTTACAGTAATATAGCTTATGCATCAGAATAACACATAGGCTATGTTTTAGATTGAAATTTAACAGGTGAAGCCGCGGGCGAAACCGCGAACACAGCTAGTATTGCTATAAATACATATTTATTTATTTGCTTGAAATATACAATACTTATATATTAGAAGAGGGTCAGTATTAATAAAATGGTCTACATATTTCGCCATTGTTTTAGCATGCAATTTTTTAAAAATATACAATGTAATTATTAAAAAATGAATTGATAAAAAAAACACATTATATGTCAAAATTTGGTAGCTACATAACACTTATTTCGTTAACTGACAATTTATTTACGTCGTCAGTGTTTTAATACGAGTATTTCACCATTATTCCTAACAATAATTTTTTTATGGGGTGATAATGGAATGGTGCACCCGCCTGCGCTAACGGTATACGCTGGCAGAGCACCAGTGGAGGATAATGAGATGAGCATGAGGTCAGGTCAGTTAGCCCATTGTGACAAATTCACCAAGAATTTATCACGATGGTTTCCAGGGGGAACCGCGTGGTCTACCTGACATGGTACATTGCTAGCAATAAGATTTCAGTCCACATTACTAACAATCCCCTTTCCCCCCCGCTCAGCTATGTTATATATATATTTTGGTTCAGCAAATCAATGAAATGGTATTTTTGTTTGTTGGCAATATAAATATTTACGCGGCACACTGTATCTAAACTAATAATATCGGCTAGTGAGCGAATTTATTTATAACACATAAAATAAACAAGACGCCAATAAAAATAATCACGCGTATTTTTCTGACGGAAAACTAGTTTTGCGCAAGATTTCTATTTGATTACTGAATTTACTCGTGTAATGTTGGTGGAGTCGGAATATTAGCCACATTACTCCGGCACTGAGTAGTATTAGTCTAACTTTATGACCTAACTAGAACCGGTTTTACACGGCTGATTTTATTGAGATATATGTATTTTTTTAAATTAATATATAGATATCACTCCAGTCTCTACAATATCGGCCTGCCAGCCTAGTGTAGAACTACAGTAAATTAAAATGTAAATGTG